GAGTGAGTCACTGCCTGGTTCTTGACCCGTATGCACGAACGTACATCAGCTGTCTTCAGCGAGTCTCTCCCGAGGATTCAACCCGTACGCACGAACGTACATCAGCTGTCTTCAGTGAGTCTCTCCCGAGGATTCAACCCGTACGCACGAACGTACATCAGCGGTCTCCAGTCTGTCGCTCTCTGGCTTCGACAGGTACGAACGAACGCACCTTTGACGTCGTCCGGCGAGTGGCCCCCAGACTCCAAGATAAGCGCCAAATCGTTTGATCTTCACTGCCGTGAGTCAACAAGACGTACGAACGTCCTTACTCTTTTAATTCAACATTGCCCTTTTTTGTATTAACCTTCTTATAACCAACTCTCTATATATCTATATTTCTATATATTTGTTCACTTTGTTTTGTTTCTGGCCAGATTTTAGTTTCCGTATTTTTATCATAAATTGTCAGTTAATAAATTTAATCATCCAACGAATTGTTCTTTTTTTAACCTTAAGTCCTTTACGCAACAGCCGGCAACTATCTCTGGTAACGCCGGACTTGGAGGGTAGATATCCAATACTCACTCCCGCCGACGTCTACGAAACAGACAATGAACCTTAGACTGTCTTTGAGATAGGCTCAACGATGAAGTAGAGAAATGGGAGAGCGCCGGGCTTTGATAGAGTAGAATCTTGAGCCATTAAATTAAATATTAAAAACAAAAGTGAACCTCTCCTGCAAACTATGAACGATGCCAGGAGGCTCGGATATTTCCCTAGAGTGTGGAAAAAAGCTATAGCCTGCCCCTTCCTGAAGACCGGAAAACTGTCGGATTGCCCCGAGTCAATAGAACAAAATCGTTACTGTCAAACCTTGCTAAGCTCTTGGAAAGCATGATGACGTCCAGAATATAAAATGGCCACTAGGGGGCTCAAGAAGATCAGAAATGAAAACCAAGCTAAGTACTGTGCCTTGCTTATGCTAGATGTAAGCAAAGCCTATGACAGACTTTGGTGTCCTTATATAATTCATTGGCTCAACTATAGGAAGGTGCCTCCAGACAAGATCAATTTAATGACTTCTTTTCTTATGAACAGAACAATACAGAGATCCTCTGGAATGTCACTTGGCCAGGAGATAGAAATGGCGGTATTCTGGGCCCTCTGCTGAGCAAATTAACTAATTTAGAAGGACTTAACCACTTGACGGTGCAGGGCAATATGCGAACTCAGCGCTTAATCTGAGACATCAGACTAAAGGAGACAACCGTGAGAGAAAACCCCAATCCAAATTGTCATGCAACCCATGCTGATTCGAATATGAACCCCCGGTTGAGTCGAGAGTTGCTAGTTAGCGAATGTAGCCTGTCAACTAGTTCAACTTGATTTCTTGTATCAATCTTCTTAAAATTTGGTCAAAATATTTAGAAAAACTTTATAAAACTAAGGAATTATCAAAAGTCTAAAAAAAACTTCGTAAAATTGTTTTTTTTTCCAATTTTTGATATGTGGCTCCAGGAAAGTCGAGTTTGAACGGGGCCTCAGGGGCACCTGGCGCCACTCCTGAGTACATAAGTCGCCTTCTGGCGGTTTGTGGAACTATTAGAAAGCCCTCGCTTTGTGGGAACCAGATGGATTCAAAAGAAAATAAAGAAAAACCGGGCAATAAAAAAAGGACAATGACAAAGGCAAGAAAAAGGAACACGATAAAAAAAAAAAAAAATGGTATGTACCAAAAACTACATACTTCCAATATTAGAGGTGAGGTTTATTCAATGAGTTGTTCTATGTCAAGAGGAACAACAACCGGCTCCACTACCCCAAATAGCACTTTATCTGCTCGCAAAAATAGTGGCCAAATTAGACCTGCGAAAAAAAGATCAAGAGCGCCTACCTCACCTCCTGTTCTCTCCAAAACAGGAAAGTCCGCAACTACCAGCAGACTGACTGAGTTAGATCCCTTTGCCCGACGGTCTAGCTTGAAGAGAACTCTGCCCCATGAGACCGATCCGAAGGAACCAACAACTCGCGTCGCTGAATCCATTAGGGTGGCTAGCCACACAAGTCTAGAGTCTGAATCGACCGGGTAACTGCAATATTACGAAGCCGCCACTTCACTAAGCCACAAGAGAAACTAGCAAATGAAGAGACCACTGAAAAGCAGGCTCAATTGTGGCTAAAGACGGTCCATGAGAGGCATAACAACAGCAGAAATAAAAATGGCAAAAGAGGTGTAAAACAAACTTTAGTAGTGGGCCCGGTTAGCGGCGTGGAACCACTGGACCTACTAAAGAAAGTTAAAGAGCATCTGAACCCAAGAGTGACGAATTGATTGACGGATTGATGGTACAAGAGCCACAGCCTGAGGTGGTATTGCCATAAGAGTTGAAACGGATGCTCCTAAGGCAGCAGCGCTGAATGCCCTCCAAAACGCAGAGCTTAACCCATGTGGACTGGAGAAGAGAAACTCACGCATCCTAATCCTACACATTCTCAAAGATACCAGCACCAGCGAGCTATGAGATAAAATAGTGGTAGGTAAACCTCTTTAAAAATAAAATATGTGGGGATTACATACTCCTCCTACATAAGAATAATCTTGCGTCATTACACTAGAAACTAAAAACAAAGGAACCAGTAGCTAGACAGTCCAATGTTATATACACTGGGCTAACAGTGGGTCAAACAAAACCAGCTAGACTTGGTTAGAACGGCCCAGCGAATTTCAAAAAGCTTTATACACACTTCCCACGCATGCAATTTACAAACATATATGCTGGTGTTTTGATTGTTCATGAAGGTAGGGAAAATTTTAAAAAATCAAGGGTGGCAGCCTCATTGGCATGCATGTTAGCCTCAGTTCAGATTGAAATTCCTGATAAAAATTGGTTTTGTACCTTGAGAGTGTAAAATGTTAGTTCACAGTAAACTATAATTGAAAACCGCAGGGGAAAAACGAGTTAACTGACATTTTTATCGAAAATGGGATGATGACGGTTTCTTATAGATTGAAGGTAGGCGAATACTATGGTGTCTCAAAACAGGGGAAAAGTGAGTTAAAATGGTCGAAATACGCATTTGAAAAAGAAAGTACAGGGGAAGAACGAGCTATACTGAGCGGTACAGGGGAAGAATGAGTCAACTTCATGTCCCCTGCTACAAACTCTCCCAAGGTCAGGTGGGTCATTCTGTAATTCACATCATTCCCTTATCAGCAGTTTTTCTTCTCGCTTGGCCTTGTTTGTTAGTAAGTGCGGTACTTGTGATTTTATTGTGTTTTTGTGCGGTAGTTGATCAAATGTCATCGCCGGACTGTTCAGAATCTGAAGGGTCATCAATAACAAGTTGACAAGGAAACGCAAGATAACTAGACGAATGCGGGATGTTTCGAAAAAACTTCGTGTTCAGTCCCAAGAAACTGGTCGTGACTGTGAGTGTTTTAGATATGTTTTCAGAACATTACAGAACATGAAAGGCAGATTTTAATAAAACAGTTCAATGAGCTACGCTATTGGAACAAACAAAGCTGTCATCTGGCTGGACTAATTACTATAGTTCTTGTTCAACATACATCACAATGCTCTGCTGTAGATGAAATGAATGCTTGTTTAAGGAAATCCACGTTTTACTACTGAGTACGAATGCTTCGTGAAGGTAATGCTGAAGATGTAGTTGTGTGTAAAAAGGTCTTTGTTGCACTCCATGGAGTGACTAACCGAAGAATATAATGGAAAGTAGAAAAAGTCGAGGGTATGGAAGGAATAGGTATGAATTTTAATAAAAACCTGCCTTGTCCTAACATCACAACAAACAATGTTTATTATAAAAGACAACTTTCGTTCTTTTCTTTTAATATTCATCAAAGGTGCAAATGAGGTGTGCACATTTTTGTATGACATCACTCACTACTTACCACAACAGGTGCGACACTTTATTATATATTTGGTGATTCATGTGTAAAAAAAAGAATTGGACAGTTTTTAAATTTTTACACCACTTGGTACACCAAAAAAGCAGTTTGATATTGTGAACATTGTATTCCCCATCCGTGGCCATTCCTGTATGGAATGCGATAAGGATATGGGATTTACAAATCAAAAAACTTATTTGTAAAGGGCAGTCTGTGGAAAAAGAAAGAAATATATATTTAATATAAGGTACCTGGAAAGTTTTAACTAGTTAATGATCCATAAATTAAATTTAGAGAGGTTGGGGTCCCGTTAGTAGTTTGTAAATACTTTATAAATTTGTAAACACTATTTAAAAAATGTATAAATAAAAATGTGTAAAAAATTTATTTAGACCCTGAGCTTGGCGTAACCCAGAAAGTCATTTTTCTGTTTCCTAATCTCCAAAGAGATAGCAAGATTCATCCAACAAGAAATCAAGGGTACTGCAGACTGATAAGAAAAAAACTTATCTTGTTTCTATGAGACTTCCAACAAATAACCAAAAACAAGATTATACCACAGTAGTAAAATTTAAGTATGTTTACTTTCAATTCCTGAAGAAAGTTTTAATAGCAAACAGCTGGCGCAATTTTAATTTTTGTCTACATTTACCAATCAATAACATTAATTACATATGTCTGTGATTTCTGCGATTTATGTTTTTTAAACCTGGCACAGAGTGTAAGGTTAACTTTTTAAGTTAAATTTTCTTACATTAAGTTCAGATCTAATATATTCAAATTGATACAATATTGAATTAAAATTAATAAATTTATAATTTGTCACCTTCTAATAATTCAGGCTTATAAGAATTCTGCGATTTATATTTCACCAAAAAACAGTTTAATTAATCATACTTGAGAGAGTGAACTATGGTTTCGAGGTTAAAGCAAATAATCAGCGACTAGAATATGATTTAAGTTTTTTGGGCATTATTAATTTTCCTAATACTTTTTTTATATATTATTTTATATATTATTGTTTTTATTTATACCATAAAGGCTGTTTTCATTTTGCTTGGAGTACTGTAACTACACCTTGAAAATAAAACACTATTTTTGTACATACCATCAGAAGGAGACCGTGTGTCATCTTTGGTTAAATCGTGTTCTTTGACAATCAATGGCGGCGAGGATCTCTTTTCGTGTTCGTTTGTTTCAATCGTAGATTCAGGTTGACTTTCAATTTTTTTCGGCGAGGAGGCCTTCTCGCCGGCCGCTGCCGCCGGCTGGGCTTTGTTCGAAGCGGGTTGCGCTTTCACATAGCCCGTCTGATTGCGGAATGTGTTCACTGAATTGCGAAGGAATCTATTCGGGATGAGTGTATCTGGGGAAACATCTTTCTCCCAGCAGTCAGGGCACTGGTGATCTTCGGATTCAAGAAGTACATTTCGAATACCTGAGGGTAAATGTTAAACAGTCGGTAAATTTCAATATTAAAATGAGCACACAGGCAATAAACCTGTATAAATTTTACAAGTTAATAAGTTAAGAGGATCTATTCCTTTGTTGAATCATTATTGATGCATAAACAAATAATTTAAAAATCATTATTGACGAAAATCTTAAGTTAAAAATTAGTCTGTTTTCTTAGGATATAGAAATTTATGTAAATAATTACAGTACAGTACTTTTACTTAAGGCAACATAAAAAAAATAATTGTACTATTAATATAAATAATCTGGATGGATCATCTCAACTGGTGAATATGAATAACACTGTCAGTCACATGAATAAAATTTTTTGTAACTATATTTTAAATATTTAACTTACATTCATCACAAAAAGAGCTCCCGCAGCAAGGAATTAATACTGCATCTGTAAGAAGGTCATTGCATACACCGCACACCAAATCATGAGGGATGGCAGGCTTCTCGACGACAACTGGTTCCGTGACTTTACGTATCGGCTCTTTCCGCGCCTCACTGAAAAATTTAAAAACGGAACGTAAATTCCACCTTGGCGTAACCAATTAGGGTACTTACTGTTCGATCGAAGGTACGGCGAATTGTCCCGTTGGGGTCATCATGGCTCCAGGTACGTCTGGTCCCTCAACTGGGACCATAAAACTCCTTGGGATCCCGGTACTCTTCTTTATGTCTAATGTCGAATCCTAAAAAGCATTATAATGTTAATAATTAAAATAAGTACTAAATATGTTTAAATAAAGTCCACTTACTGGTTGGGCATTTAATTTACAGTCTTTAATCCAGTGGCCAGGTTGCAAACACTTGTAGCACCGGTAGTTTGCTGGTAGCTCGCCAACTTGATTAGATCCTTTTATCCGAAGGTAACTTTTAAAAAAAAGTAAACGTATTATAAAATTTCAAAAATATTAAATTTCAAAAATTTAAAACAGTAAGAAAAAAAAACTTACTTGGATGGGTCATAATCGAGGGTTGACTGAGTTATTGCAGCTTGGATTTTATCTGTTTCACTAGCTTCTACATTTGCTAAGTCAACTGTCTGTTCAAAAACAAAATTGAAATTAAATTAAAACTCTTTTGTTTTTTAATTAATAAAACTCACCTTTGCTAGCTTATTAGCTAGTGGGTCTAATCCATCTCCTTGGGTGCCCTAAAATTTAAAGAAAATTTTAGCTATAATGTTTTAAAAAATGAGCTTAACCTTCGACTGGTCGTGCTGGACCCCAGAATTTTTTTATTTAATTTTTTGCGGAGTTCATAAAATTTAATTGCCACTTCGATCTACTCTAAAAATAACTTATAAGCAAGAGTTGTACAGGATAAAAGGCGGCAGTGGAATTTTAGTGTGCAATCTATCCTGAAGAGGAAAATGGTACAAACCTACCCTGGGTGACTTGTCATGTAAATTTTTTTACCGTTTATTTTTAAAAAATTCCATCAATTGTGCATATTTTTATTTCTACTACATTTTTCTTAATTTGTCTTACATAATTTACTATGAACTATTTTCTAATCCAGAAAGTTTATTGACACAAGAAATTTTTTTTAAATACTTTTCACCTCGGAATCAACGGGGCGTTATTTCTTATATGAACTCTTAAATTGTTTCAGAATTGTCAAGTTTACAGTATAAAGATGGAGATTTTGTGAGTTGCTATGAGCTACGGGAAAGTTTCTTGTTGTCCTAAGATGTTTTAGGTTTGACGATTTGAAATCACATCAAGAGAGCAGAGAAAAGGTAAAATTGACTTGCGGGAGTGAATTTATAACCCAATTTATAAAATGCATCCGTTTCGAGGGAGATCTGTAATGCAAGCATATACCTAGCAAAAAAATCTAGATCTTTATATTGCATTCTTCAGCAATAACAAAATGGAAATACTTCGTAGGAACTCAACCTTCTGGTTCTATCATGCTTCAAATTCACCTCTTGAGAGCATAAGGCCGTCTGCACACGACTGCTGGGAGACGCTAACACGATATGATCCTTGTACGATTTGTGATTTATACAATATTAATAAATATTTATTCATTTATTTTATATACCTACGAATTACAATTACCTGGGAAATTAAACTGAGGGTAGGTCACCTAGCAATCGTACCATGTGAGTACAGCCTAACATGCTTGGTGACTGATTGAAAATTCTAACAGGAATCTAACAACGTTATCTAAAAAAATATTGTTTATAATATTTATAAGTTTTGAAACAATGTTTGTGTATTGGTAATTGTTCAATTTTCTTATGTGTACCGTCCATTTACTATACATTTTTGTTAACAATAAGCCTAAAGGAATATAATTTTTTTTTTACATACAGCTCGACCACTCAAAGATTAAGTGATGTAAAAATGTTTATCTTACCTTTCCTCCTAATGCAGGTAAAGCATCTGATTTTTCACTGAAATTAAAAATTGAAAATAAATTAAAACTGAAAATAATTGAACACAAATTCTTTAAAAATAATTAAAATATTTGCCAATAGTGAAAATTGTACTTTTATTATTCACCAATGTATTGTTTATAAAATAAACATTTTTTTCAAATTGCAAAATTAAAAACCGATAATGAAAAATAAAGCATCCAATTATTTTAATAATATAAGATTCATTCTATTATTTTTCTATAATTGATTAGAAATTGTAAATAAAGTGTTAATAAGAATGTATGTTTTTCCATATACAAACAAAAAGCCCTAATCAGCTTTAATTATGTGTTTTGTTTGATATGGTTTAAACACTAACACTGCTTACTGTTCATCAGATTATTCTTTTTATCTAAGGTCTGGATTGAGATGAAAAAGATACACTCACGAGCGGGATTTGAACACATGACCTCGGCTCAATCCACCACTGCTCTAATCACTTGAGCTACCGTGACTTTGATCCCCTCGGACTCCAACTCCTCATCTCAACCTACAACCTTTCGAATTTTCCATCTTTTTGCCATTTTTCAAATGTCATGTAATCAGGATTCGATTCTCAGCGACTTATGAAGTGGCCATTGAAATAACTAATATGGTCAATTATGACTGCTAAACAAATATGGATTAATGCAATGATAAATCTTTAATTGAATCATCCAAGGTAGAAAGGTGGATCCTTTGTAAACTTCTATAAATTAATAACTTTTGAAAAGACTTATCTATGAACTAGCCAGAAAAAGCAGCCTTTAATTTTTGTTTTCCCCTTAGGATAAATTTGACATCAAAAAGGAATTTGCTCATGTCAAATATATTTATATAAATAATGGCTTTTGATAAAAATTAACCTTCTGTAACTTTATCATTAACGACACATAATGTAGTTAAAACCTAAATTTAAAGAATAGTAAAGCAATCTATATCATTATAAGAAAAAAAAACTACTGTTTATAAATTATTTATATTAAATTGTTTTATTTATTACCACGCTTTTTTCTGCTGAGTAGTCAAAGGCACCCGTACTACAATTAAAGATGAATTCTTTGGAACTAAAACATTGTCATCTTCGTAAACTGGAAAAAAAATTAAAACAAACAGAATTAATGCCAGGGAAATATTATCATTCATCCCAGGGCGTTAAGTAAAGCTCAGAAAATACCTCAAAATGTTTAATACTTGCAATGATGAAAACTATGGATCTAGTAGGGTTGAGAAAAACAATGTAGAAAAAGTTTTTAATAAAGCATGATTAATAGAAGAGTCCTAATTATACTGTCAAGAATTAAAACTTTTTCTACAACTTACAAATGTAAAAGTACTTGATTTTACTTAAATATAAATCCTGAGGTATTTTCTGTCCAATCCCAAGCAGTTATTTCAATGTAAGAAAATCAAATTATCCATCAATAGATTGTTGCAAGTGTTTTTTTTTTCTTTTCTGTGCCATGAGTACAAATAGAATTGAAAGGGTAAAATTGACATAGAACAAAGCAGAACAAATAATAGATATTACATTGCTCTTTTTAAATACAGTTTTATTTATATGAATGTCATCCAAAATAAATATAATTTTATTCAAGGCTATTACATATTTTGGAAATAAAAGCCTTGCTTGTACAAAATGCATTTGTACCAAATTTTTGCATTTGGAAACAGAACTTCAACATAAAACTGCTATGATAGAAGTATCATTGAGCCAAGTGATTACGTCTTTATGTTTTAAATACTTGTATGAACATCAATGTCGTGCTTCAACAAAAAATGTGCTCACACTGGTGTTTTCTTTTTCAAGTTCGCTATTATAATATGCATTGTAGGTTGTAATCATCAAAAACACAACTTAATAGTTTAAAATAGATTTTTTTTTTTAAACATACCTTATTAATTTTTTAAAAAATTTAGGTATTAAGGGAAAAATATTAAACAAGGCATGTAATAAATTTTAGAAAAGCAAGCATATTTATTTAAAATATAATTGTTTTGAAAGTTGTATTAATATTGAAAACAGGGTTTTACAGGATTTCTATTTCACTATATAACCAAAGACTGAGATTCTTATAATCTTTCTGTAAAAGTTAATGAGCCCTTGCATTTCATCTTAACTGTATGTATATCATGCATCTTTTATTTTTTATAAGATAAAAAAACACTTCTGTAAGAAATCTGTATACTTATAGCAAATTGATAGTGGTTTGATCGATTTCTCACTGACGGCCTAAACATGCGGTATATGCAGAAGTGATCAATTTTGATCAAACCATTACCAATAGATCAAATTGCAGTAAATCCAGCAAATGCCTGGGGGGGGAATATATTTTACATTTCTAGTGAATATAAATTTTATAGATTTTGCTGACAAAGAGGTAAAAACTGTCAAATTTGGTTGTTGTTTAAACACATTTGATAAAACACATTTTTTTTAGACAATAGAGTATAAAGCCATCATACATATACAAAGTATAGCAAATATGATATAAAAGTAATTATGATGCCTTGCCTTAAGCTATTGACAAAGAAGAAACACCGCAAAAAGATGTACACAAGTCTGTGCTAACTGCAATCATGGATAATAAAATAAAAATGTATATCATGTAGAAGTTATTAGTATTAGCACAGCCAAGTTGATTACAGAAAATAAAAAGTTTTCAAAAAAAAAACCATCCCATTAAAACATGATAAAATGTTTATGTCATCTAAAAAGAATTCAAACATAAAGAATTTTCTACAAAATGATTTAATTTGCCTATTAACAACAATATGGTCAGCAGATAAAGTTATTAGTGCCAAATTATTTATGGCTGTTTTAAAAATCTAAATATATTCATGATCAAATCTAAAATGTGTCATAACACTAATGAAACTCAACATTATCAAACAAACACATCAAAGAATTGTTCCAAAGAATGCAACTAAACTTTTGTATACTTTTTGTAAATGATGGTTCTACTCATAGATTTTTGTTTATAATGATCCAGATTTCGAACAATAAACCATTATCAGGTCGAATAAATCATAAACACATCTCTCGGCATGAATTGTGATTTTAATTGTTCAAAATCCGATCATTGCAGACAAAAATCTATGAGTAGAACTATCATTTACAAAAGGTGAATCGACCTTTATATATTTCTATCCAAAGTTAAGGTATGTTACAAGAATCAAGCATAATGGACCATGTTTCAATGTTGTACGTAAAAGCCCAAATAATTTTAATGTCCTGATGAATTTCTCAATGGCTGGTGGTTTATTCTAAATTGGCTTATAAAATTTTAATAATGAATGCTGATATTAATTATATTGTGGTGAAAAAATTTAATTATTGGAATTAAAACGGAGGGAGGAGGGCATAACCACTGCTGACATAGTGGCATCAACCCTCTCTCACGTGAGCCAGATGGCCAAGGAAGGAGCCAGTAGAAAAAGGAAGTCAAGTCAGAATTTGGCTCAGGTTTTGGTGGATTGATTGTGTGTGATCTGTGGGTTTACAATAATGGGTTAAAAAAAGATTTGTCACCTTTCCTCAACCACTCAAACCACCCCATCCTGGCAGTTACGAGCATCCTTTGCACAAGAGACAATATCTTCAAAATCAGCAGCATATTAATATTTTTCATATTACCAACAAAGCATCCAACTAACAAACATTTCCATACAGATTTCCTGGTAAATTGTTTGCTGTGATTTTTTTTTTAATTTTTAAGTTTTCTGATTTGTTTTTTAATTTGGACGGATTTGAAGATAAATAATTCTGACAGAAAGTGAAGATGGCAAAATAGAGAAACATGTCTGACGGGACAAGCATGATTCTATTTACAAATTACAATAAAAATTATTTCATAGAAAAAACCACAATAAAAATGAAAATGAAAAATCACAAAACACTTTATACAGTAAGTGACTGAAGGTTCATCACTAAAGAGAGAAATCTTTTTTTTTCTAGTTTGATTTCATTTACATACTGATACATGATTGTACTCTCCAGAACAGTAATGTCAGCACTAACATTGTAAAATTAGACTATGACAAATTGAAACGCTTTAAACAGTAAACTTGCACATGATCGATGAAATGAACTTAAATCACAGCAGTTACAGACCATATTATAAATCTAAATAAATCTAAACAAAGCCCTAAAATTCATACAATACGAAGAATGTTAAGACTTCCAATTAATCCACAAACACTCGGACGTCCATAGCACACACCAAGAACAAACGACACATATAACCAAAGATGTGCTGACCAGTTTGCTGATAATTCAACTATAATTTTTTTTTTTAAATATTACAAGCATTATTTTTTAAACAATAAAAAATTTGACATTAAACTCATGATTATTTTGAATAAATATTGTATACAGAAGTGTTTTTTTGTTAAATACATATTAATTTTGTAACATTAACATTTACCTAATGCAAGACACCCATTAAATGTTTAATTATTACATCCATGCTACCAGATATTTACATTTTGTTAATAATTTTATATCAAGTGTCCAATACCATGACAAAACAACACTACACAACTTGCTTATGAAGTAAGCATTTTTTCCAGTTTTATTTCTTTAATTAACTTTTCATATAAATGAATGTGCATAAATTGTTTTTAATATACTTGTAAAAAAATTCCCCTTCAATAAACAAGCCAACACCGATAAAATAAAAAAAAATAGTAATTTATAATAAAACATGCATATATACCTTCCAAAACTAAAATTAAGTAGTAAATAAAGACAGGAGGAATCATACAACGGAAATTATATATAAACTTGCCTAAATATTGGCCAATTTCAAACATTTCATTTTTATCACTTTTATGTTTTGGCAATTATTTTAGCGTTATGTAGGATATCTTTTGTTTGAAATCCAAGGCTCTTAAAAAAAAAAAAAAAAAAAAAAAAAAAAAAAAAAAAAAAAAAAAAAAAAAAAAAAAAAAAAAAAAAAAACCGAACAAAATGTGATGGAAAGTATAAGACAGTTTTTTTGATGATCTGCTGCGTTTTACCTTCATTTGACTGTGCGTTGGTAATTTGTAGATCGAAGTCGCTTGCTTTTCCAATTTGTTTCTGCTGTAAAATCGCTTTCTTCAAGTCCCTGATGGATATGTGAAGACCGTCAAATGTGATTGTGTCAAACGAAAGGGCGGATTTAAACTTATAATGCACTGACATTATAATGTCTCATCACTGAGCACAAAAACTGTAAATTACTTGTTATTAGAAAAGTCCTAAAAGTCACTTATTTTCTTTTTATTAAATTATTACAGGCTAAGGTATTTTTTGCATTATGAATTATTGGTTATTCCATAACCTTACTTTTTTCTCATTAACAAATTTGTTTGATTTAATAAATTGTTTATAGGTCTAAAAACATAGATACAATGATTATTTTTATTTTAGTTTGGAAATTAAGACAAATCATAAGTTTTTGAACACAGCTGGCTTTAAAATCACCACATTTTATTCTCAAAAAGAAATACAAATTGTTAGCAAGAAAAAAAATTTTTTTTTCCTTCCAATTTAAAAACAATTCAAAAGTAATTTGGTCAAATCCAAAAGACACTTTTGACCCTTAATTAGAATTTTATTATAATGTACCGTTTCCAAAAGCACTCCACAAGCAAAACAAGCATAATATAAATACAAAGTTGTAAATAAACCATTATTTATTACATTTTTAAACATAGCATGTTCTAGAGGCCTAAGAAGGCACTTAACTTTGAAAGAAGTATTCAAAGCCTTCAATAATAAAGTCACTTTTGGTGTTAAATCTGCATTAAATAAGCAAGAAAATCAGTTTGCACGGTAAACCGACAAAGCTTATATTTAAATTAACAGCAATTGTTTTAATTAAATCAACCATTTTAATATTTCAAGGGAGGGAATCATAATCAAAAACATAAAAATACTTCACACTTATTAGAAGTCATTTACATGTTTGGTACTCAATCCTTATTGAAGGAATGACAGTCTCAAAGATGAAGCACAAAGTTGGTAGCTTAATATTTTTTCATTTTATATTACTTGAAATGGTTTCAATTTTTTCATTTTTTATAAAATTGATAAGCACTTAAAAATATTTCCATGCTTTCTCAATCAATGTCATAACACAACAGTGAAAATCGTTATTTTTACCAAAATTGTGTTCATTCTTTTAATAATTTTTAACAATGTTCGGCATTGGTGAAATTGTTCTGCTGCCAACAAAAGAAACATTGTAATATAAAGAACAAAAATTCAAAACTGTACAGCCATTTGGATTTCCATTTATTGTTGCGTTCTGTCCTCATATCGGGCAGAATTTAGTTACAAGTATATATCATTTCTCCACACAAGTTTGATTAAATATTACAGAAAGCAAATCAAACATTAGTATTAATGTAAATAAATAAAAATACTAATAAAAAAATTGTCATCAAAGAAGAGAAGACAACTGAGCTGAAATGCCTTGAAGGCTTTAATTAGAATATTTTAACGCTTGTTGAGTGTTCATGACAAAAGACCAAACTACAAATTGTTATTTTTAATCAAAATAACTATTAAGATTTTGAAGAAAAGGGTAGAAAGTGTGTTACAACAGTTGAATTGTATATATAAAAATGGTTTCTCCCAAAAACAAAGAAAAAGAAAAATTCAACATGATTTGGGTTATTCACTATGTTTATTGTTTCTTTTTCATGTTTTGTTTGATTTTTATGTTGGATTTTTCTTTCTTTTTGTGTTTTTTTTATGAGGTTAAAGTTTCATTTTACAACTTTTTTTTGGTATGTTTTTTGTATAGATATTTTATCGATTTTTCTGCTTTGTTTGTTCGCTATGTTTGGTGTCCTTTTTTTAAGTATTTTGTTTCAATTTTCTTTCTTTTTGTGCTTTTTATTAAGTTAATGTTGGGAAATAAATTTTGCTCAGGATAAAAATCTGAATTACTAGGTTAACCCCATCCTCTTTTATCATACCATTACCACTTTTTCCCCATTTAGCATAAAATTTATGCTAAATAATAATTAAAATGTATAATTTATTCATATCATCCTCTGGACTTGGGATTTAAAAACATTGTTTAAATTATACTAATGCACATAAGATTTCAAATTAAATTCAAATATTAAATTTCTGGCAATACTTTTCTAATTTTGTATTAATCGACATTTTTCTATATCAGTTTATTAAAAGGCATTTTCTTACTGTAATAAAAATTTAGTTTGTCATCAACATTCAAGTACTAGTAAAATTAGCTGTCTATATATTCTGTTGTAAATTTAAATTTTTATTTAATGACCAACTTTGAAAGATTGGAAATTTTTTCAATTTAGGGAAATTATCAAGCACGCGATATAACTTATCTTATTATTATAGTGTACGTATCTTTTAATTATTGTATTGTTTGTATTTTTTGTTGGCAGTTTAGGCATAGGTTGGCAGTTTAGCAAGGGTAATAATTTTTAAATTTAAACTAGAAATTTTGGTTGTTTTGCACTTTCTAGACAGACAAGCTTCCTTGTCTAAAAAGGTTGTGTATTTTAGAAGATCAAATTGTAATACATTAAAGTCAAAAGCACTATTATTTTACCATATTCTGATGTTGCAGCATATTTTTGGACAAAAAGTCTGTTTTTGCTGAATTCCTCCAAATGTGACATATTGCAGAACACCCTTGAATTGAAAACTTGTGTTTTTGCAGAATAGTCCCCCTAGTTTTATTTATTAAAAAAAATATATAAAAAAATAAAATAAAATAAAAATAAAAAAATGCTACTGGTATTATCGTTTTATAATTACTGAAAATGACACACCTGAAATGTTTAAATCTATGAAGTGAATGGTCTTGCACTTTTCAAAAGACGTATTTTAGAAATAAAAAGGACAAATTGTGGCGTATTAAATGGAAAAGAACTGTTAACAGGATTTTACCAAATTGTGGCATATTGCACAATATCCTTGACCTACAAAAGTGTGTATTTGTTTAATAGTTGCCCCAGTTTTGTCACATTATTACCAATATTTGGACATGTAATAAAACATCCAGAAATACTGCCACTGGTTTTATTGCTGAATTCATTGTGAATTGTCTTGCACTTTCTCAACGAACAGCCTATTTCAATCTAAAAGCCTGGGTATTTTAGAAATTAAACGGTCAAATTGCTGTATATTAATGTCAAAAGAACTATTATCAAGGATTTTGCCAAATTGGGTTTATTTTTAAGCACTTGTCTTGCACCGTTGTCATCAATCTCTTAGACATGCAACAAGAAAATACAAATTTTACGTCACTGGTTTTATTGCTTTAAAATTAACCCAAATGACAAAAATTATAATATACAAATCCGTAAACGAATAGTTTTGCACTACTAAGACGAGACTGCTTATTTATGTCCAAAAAGGTTGTGTACTTTAGAAGTAACAAGGTAATTTTATGGTGATTCACTAGAAAATCACTATTATCAGGATTGTACCACACTAACGCAGAGCACTTTTAGAAAGGATTAGGTTGCCTTTCTAGAGTGCAAAACAACTCAGCTTAAATTTTTAATTTTTCTCAGACATTTTAATCAATTGCACAGCAAAAAAAAGACCAATAACAGATAATTCACCAGGGTGTTTTATTGTGCATCCAATAAATAGGTGACAATCCATGAAACTATGAGAACTTTCAACTAAAACAGACTTTTTTGTTCAAAAATGTGCCGCACCATATCACAATTTGGTAAAATCCTGATAATAGTTGTTCAACTTAAGTTTAATATGCAACAAATTGACCTAATAATTTCAAAAGTACAAAACATTTTAAGATAGGACTAGGCTGTCTATCTAGATTGCAAAACAGTTTTCATATTTCTTTTGGTCATTTTGGTTAATCGTATGTAAGGAAAACCACAGACAGATACTTTTGCAGGGTTTTTTGCTACATGTCCAAGATATTGGTGGCAATCAATCAAATCTAGGGAGAACACTTCAGCAAAAAGACTTTCTTTGTCCAAAAATGTGTTGCAACAATCACTACTAGGTAAAATCTTGATAATAGTCAATTAATTTATGCTTAACATGGAAAAATTTAACCTAATAATTTCTAGAATATACATTTTTAGACAAGAATGAGCTGCAATCTACAGGGTTTTTGTTAGGTGTCAAAGATATTGGATTCATGTGATCAAAACTATGGGGAAATCTTCAGCGAAAAATAACTTTTTTTGTTCAAAAATGTGCTGCACCATATCATAATTTGGTAAAATCCTGATAATAGTTGTTCAATTTAAGTTTAACATGCAACAAATTGACCTAATAATTTCAAAATTACAAAACATTTTAAGATGAGACTAGGCTGTCTATCTAGAGTGCAAAAAACCCAGTTTTCAGTTCCTTTTTAGTCATTTTGATTAATTGTATAGCAGGAAAACCAATGACTGAAAGTTCTAAATGGTTTTTGTTACACGTCTAAAATATTGATGACAATCCTTCAAAACTAGGGGGAATTCTTCAGTGAAAACAGGACTTTTTGTCAAAAAAAAAAGGCTATGAATTCTTTCAATGAAAACAAGACTTTTTGTCCAAAAATTGCTACAACATATCACATTTTGGTAAAATCCTGGTAATAATTGTTTAATTGAAGATTGATGTGCAAAAAATTGACCTAATAATTTCTTAACATTTTAAGATAGAACTAGGATGTCTATCTAGAATAGACAACCCAGTCTTTTGGTTAACTGTATACCAAGAAAACCAATGACAGAAACTTCTGCATGGTTTTTTGTTGCACGTCCAAGATATTGATGACAATCAATCAAAAGTAGGCGGAAGACTTCAGTAAAAAGACTTTTTTTTGTCCAAAACTATGCTGTAACATATTACAATTTGGTAAAATCTAATAATAGTCGTTTAATTTATGTTTAACATGGAACAATTTAACCAAATAATTTCATGATTAGGATGTCTATCTAGAGTGCGAAAGAACCCAGTTATCAGATTTTTTTTTGGTCATTTTGGTAGGTTGTATAAAAGTTCAACCAGCGACAGATACTTCTGCATTGTTTTTTGTTAGCGAAAACAGACTTCTCTGTCCAAAAACATGCCACAACATATCAGAATTTGTTAAAATCCTTATAATAGTTGTTTATGTTTGAAATGGAACAAGTTAACCTAATATTTTCTACAATAAACAGCATTTTAAGACAGGAATGGGCTGCCTGCCTAGAGAGTGAAAAACATCGCTTTAATCTTTTATGAAACCAACTTAAACAATTTAAATTTTTCTATTTTGCGGTAAATCGTTAATTAATAAACCGTCTCCGTGTTTTTATTTATCTTTTTTTAAATTACATGTCTAAGTTATTTGTAAAAATGGAGCAAGACGTCAAAACGGTTTCCGCGAATAGGTTCAAACTTTCTAGGTCAATCGTCGATGAATTTGCGTACTTTCCGAGTAAATAAAACTGTAAATCTCTTATTTATTCGTTTTGCTCTAATTAATCTTATCTTTACGGAAAATGTTAAAAAACAATCGGGACACTTTCTTTTTTGGCGTTTTGTTCTCAAGTCGGCCACATTTTTAATAAAAAGGGACACGGGTTCGGCTAAAAATAGAACAATAGCCCGATGAAAGTCACTTTCCACCTTTTCATGCCGTTTTTTGATTTACAAAAAACAAGATTCAGCGGCTTAAAAAAAATACTTTGGAAAAGAAAGAAAAACCACGAAATTAAGCACCTTGAGCGGAACGGAGACGAAACAAATTTGACAAAAACATGTGAAACTCTTTTTCTCCAAATTACCTCGGTACTCACAGATAATCAAAGGCCGAACGTTTCACGTTGAGTTTTTCTTCTCGGTCCGCCTCAAAGAAAACCCGTATTCGATGAGAAGTAAAAAAAAATACATGTGTTTATTTACACGCCGTTCGACCTTTGAAAGAGTCTGAGCTTTGCCAGATGAAAAATCAAAAACCATTTTTAACAAAAAGGAGAGAAAACTTTTAAGAGAAAACACTTAAATTCAATAAAGAAAGGGCGCACAAGGCCAATTCAATAAACAACGCGACATGATTTTTAAAAAAAACTCGTGTGACTTGTAATCAAATTCAAAGACAGAAATGGAGGAGAAAGAAAAACAAATACTTAGAAGATAAATATAATCCCATACTTAGAAAAGATTAATAAACTTACATTTTTAAAAAATTACCACATCCGAACAGTCCTTAAAACTTTTTTTTTTCATATCAAAGGTCAAAACATATTCGATGTTGGGTCCTTGAAAAACTTTAAATGGTTGGGGAAAGAAAAAATTGGGAAAAGCACTGATTTTCCGCACTTGAGGAGACACGACGATGAGAACGTAAGCGTTCAGTCACGAAGAGAAACACTGACGAATGACGATACGATGTAGCGTTGAGTGGCCGTTCGATGCACGGAGCCGCCGCTGCCTTTTCGATCCGCAAAAGCGGCTGCTTTCCAACAAAGACCGCCACGAATTTTAACATTATTTAAAATATAAAAGACAAAAATATTTTTTGAAAGAAAAAAAAACAAATTTTTCTTAATTCGAAATAATGGGATTTTTTTTGTTTTTTTATATAGAGTTATTTCTCTGATGGATATTGGTTTTGCGCCTGTGCACATCGCCTGAAGGCCAATTGCAAAATCCCGCGGGACGAACTCAAATTTAAGTATAAATTGCAAATTTTTTAAAATTTTATTGGCAACTACTTTAATAGGCATGGTCAAGTAGTCTGATCTCTTGCATACTTAATTATCGTAGGGTGTTTGATCTGGGGACTGCCTCAGTCGTGCATGGTGAATCTACTCCATCTACTGGATTTAAAACAAAACGAAGAGAAAAAAACAGAAGAAAAGAAGAACAAATAAATCATATATAAGACCAAATGATGAAACAAAAACAAATACAATAAAGAGATTCAGATTTATATGAAAAGTCAAATAGTGAATTAATTAATGTACAATAGTTCCAAGCATCTCGTGTAATCCAGGATGTGACCTCGGTCAGGCATGGTAAAGCCACCTGCTGGGGTTGTGTTGAAAACATAAAACAAAAACCAGAAAAAGAAAAAAACAATAAATAAATCATACATAAGACCAAATAATGAAACAAAAAATAAATACAATAAAGATCAAAAAGCAATACTAGACTTTATTTCTGATGAAATTACTCATATTAAATTTGTATAATTCACTGTATCTTCTTTGTGCAAACTTTCATCTTAAATCAGTAAAGATGCAGATTTATTTAAAAAGTCAAATTTGAACTAATTATTTATTAATTAATTTATGATAGTACCAAGCATCTTGTGCGGTCCATGATCCATCGTTGGTCAGGTATGGTGAAGCCATCTACAGGAGTTCTGTTGGAAATAAAAAGAAAAAAAAAGAACAATAAATAAATCATACAAAAGACCAAATAATGAAACCAAAAACAAATACAATAAAGAGACAGATTTATATAAAAAGTCAAATATTTGATTAATTATTTATTAATTAATCTACTACGATAGTACCAAGCATCTCGTGCAGTCCAAGATCTGACCTCAGTCAGGCATGGTGAAGTTACCTATTGGAGTTCTGTTGAAAACAAAAAACAGAAAAAAAAAGTAATTCATACATAAGACCAAATAATGAAGAAAAAATATAATAAAGAATCAAAAAGCAAAACTAAACTTTATTTCTGATGAAATTACTCATATTAAATTGGTATAATTCACTGTTTTATTTTGTACAGACTTGCATATTAAAACAACACAGATACAGATCTATCTAAAAAGTCAAATATTGTATTACTTTTTAATTGATTAATCTATGATAGTACTAAGCGTCGTGCAGTCCAAGATCTGACCTCGGTTAGGCAGGAGTTCTGTTCAAAACAAAAATAAAAAACCAGAAGAAAAGAACAACAAATAAATCATGCAAAAAACCAAATAATCAAACAAAAATAAATACAATAAAGAATGCAGTCCAGGATCTGACGGGGGGGGGGGGAAACACCGAAGACACCCAGGAGAAAAGAAGAATAACAACTAAATCATACATAAGCCCAAATAATCAAACAAAAATAAAAACAATAAAGAATCTAAAACCAAAACTAAACTTGATTTCTGCTGAAATTATTCATATTAAATTCGTATAATTCACTGTTTCTTCTTTTGTACAAACTTTCATCTTAAATCAGTAAAGATGCAGATTTATATAAAAAGTCAAATATTGAACTAATTATTAATTAATTAATATATAATAGTACCAAGCATCTTGTGCAGTCCAGAATCTGACGGTGAAGCCATCTACTGGAGTTCTGTTGAAAACAAAAAGAAAATCCCGAACACAATCAGGAGAAAACAAAAAGGAACAATAAATAAATCATACAAAAGACCAAATAATGAAACAAAAAATAAATACAATAAAGAATCAAAAAGCAAAACTAAACTTTATTTCTGATGAAATTACTCATATTAAATTGATATAATTCACTGTTTCTTCTTTTGTGCAAACTTTCATCTTAAATCAGTAAAGATACAGATTTATATAAAAAGTCAAATATTTAATTAATTATTAATTAATCTATGATAGTACTAAGCGTCTCACGCAGTACAGGATCTTACCTTGGTCAGGCATGGTGAAGCCATCTGCTGGAGTTCTGTTGAAAACAAAACAAAAAAAAAAACCAGAACACAACCAGAAGAAAAAAATAACAATAAATAAATGTAATATATGGCCAAATAAAATAAAATGAAACAAAAACAGAATAAAATAAAGAATCAAAGAAAAACTATGCTTGGTTTTTACTGAAATTGAACTAAAACTAATTATATAAGGTTTATCATTTTAATGTGATTTATATCAGCCTTAACATTAAAAAAAAATTTATAAATATATATTAGAAAATGATCAACGATGGGACTAATTTTAAGTCAAAAATTGAATTAATTAATCTATGATAGTACCAAACATCTCTTGTTAACTGATGTGGTGTTTTGACGGCCTGTGATCAGATCTCGGTCAGGCATGTGCTGGATTCGGTTAAAAAGAAAAAAAAACTGAGAGAGAAAAGAATAAATAAATCAAATATAAGACCAAAATGAAACTCGATGTCTGTTGAAATTACACTACAAATAGCAAAACTAATATACTAAGGTATGTCCTTTTAAATTGGTCTAATTCACCGTATTTCCTTGCTCAAATTGAAGGCGATTCCTCTGAGCCATGAAACTCCTTTCTTTTTAAACCGACTGTTCATGTTGTTTAAGTCTTAAAAACACCATGAAGTATATAAACTAAATTAAAAAAGTTAGAAAAGTTTTTATTATCCTGATGAGAAATATCCAACAAAAAGAGGTGCAAGACAGTTTTCTATACAGGAAAAAAAACGATATTCCTTGTTAATTGGATTAAAAATTAAGCTTTAATCTTAAAAATAAATAAAAAAAATACTTATTTTAAACTATTTAAATTTATCGCAGATAAAATTGAACACCGTCCTGACGCTTGGTCCAAGAATTAGGCTTGTAAACCTCAAAATAAGCGAGATAAACACAAGATGTTAAAAAAGGAATTTAAACAGATTTAATTTGGTAAAGGATAAATAAAAAAGAAAATGTTGGTAAAAGTTATATTAATAAAATTCAACATTAATAACAATGATAAAAAAATAATATCAACATTAAGTAATAAGTTAGTTGCAAACAGAGGCAATGTTGTATTGTTTTTTTTTTTTTTTTTTTTTTTTGTTTTTACAATAGGCAGTTTTTACTTTTAAAATATAATTTACATTGTTTTAATAAAATTAATAAATACATATTATCTTTGTATTTAGTTGATTAGCTTAATAGTTTTTAAAAATATTTTTATTAACAACTGATGTTTTTATATTTGGTGAACAGATTGTACAAAACCCGTAGAGTAGACTTCATATCTTTGTTGACAATATCTATAAAATAAATAAAATAATAATATATAAATGGCAGGAACTATGTTATAAATCAAGATGTTTACCTTCAGGGCGGGCTTTTGGTTTTACCAATCCGACATCTTGCATAAGCTGAAATGAGAAATTGACATTGTGAACTTTCTGCTCGAAATCCTGCGGCGTCGAGTGGAAGAAATAAAATGGCACGAAAAACCCTTCTAGAAGGCCCATCAACAAAGTCAGGTAAACCCCGTCGTGAAACTGGGTTTCCAATTCGGTTACTTCAAGATTGATTTTGTTCAAATGTTTGTTAACAAACGTAAGGAGTGACTGAAAAACAGAAAGAAAAAAATTAATTCGGATTTAAAATTATTAAGACAAGGATATTTACATTTTTCACAACTGTCAGCTTATCAGGAGCATGATCGAAAAGCGTATCGAAGGCGTCTCTTTCGCATCTCATACCGACGTCATCATACGTTGATGTGATTTCTTCCAACACGGTTCTGTGTTTGATTTTACCTCCACTTTGTTTCTAAAAAATAGGTGAAATTGAACATTAAAACATAGTTAACTTTGATTTTTACAAAATTTCTCACCTGGGCAATCAAAACCTTCACAGAGACATTCTCGGGTAACCTGATCGGAGCTCGGAAATGTCTCACTAAAGCAACCAGTAAATGGAGCATAGCAACTAAATTTTTACTGTGGATGCTTTCAACCCCCCATTTGTGTTCAGCCCATACCGCTTGACCCAGAACCTGCAAAAAAATAAAATAAAATAATAAATTGTCCTATAAATAAAACTTAAAAGTATAAAGTGTAAAATACAGTGTTGGTACAATTAATTTAAAAAAAAAATTTCTAATTTTTTGCATATATCTTGCTTAGTTTCAGGTTTATGAGTTTAATTATGTCAAACAAGTATAAATACAATAATTTTTTAAAAGTAATTTTTCATGCTTATTTTAGGGTTCATGAGCTTAATTGCTAAGCCAATCAACCCAGGAGAGTCGATTTTCTAAGAAACATTCTGTAAAGCAGAAAAATTAATTTTGATGTATTTTCCATGGTTATAGTATAGATAAAGTGTATTAAACAATCCAAGAATTCTTTTTTTTTTTTTTTTTAATATTTTGGGCTATTGGTCCATCTTCAGCAATAGACTAATTCCTGCTTAGCACCCCACAAATCAACGGATATAAATAAAATTTGTCGGAAGTAATGTCAGTTGGTTTGTAAACTGCTAGGCAGGAATTAGGCCATTTGGGCTGATGAAGATAGGCCAGTAGCCCAAAACATTAAATAAATAAAAGCAAAACCAACGGATTCCTTGGATTTTTTCTTCCTTGTAGTACTCATGCGGGAAGTTGAAAAAAATGTTGTCCACCAAAATCAAAATTTCCACTCGCATTTTGCGTTTCAGACCTTTCTGAACAAATTTTCAGAGATTGTGCAGATTTGTTTTTGGATGATCCCTTATGAATTTCATCCAAATCGGATCAACTGTATTGCCTGCACATGGGGAAACATAAAATACTGCATAGCGCTTATCTCCAAAACCATGAAACGGATCTTGATAACATTTTCAGGAATTATTCGGGTTGCTTTCTCTAGATGAACCCTATGAATTTTATTCCAAACGGATTAACATGCACAAAATGGTACACATTTTTAATACCGTTCATCAGAAAAATTCATAATTTCCAAGAATCTCCTGAGTTGACTGTTGGAAGAATTAATCTTATAACCATGAAAATAAATTAGGGAAAAACTATATCAAAACATTTTTTAATATTTTTTCTTTCTTATGATTTAAATTTGCAAGCTTAATTTTTTTTTACCACTGACTATACAAAATAAATATAAAGATACATTTACAAGAATAATTTTTCCACTAAATAAAATAAAATATAAAGCATAGGATACATACAGTGTTAGCTGTGCCAAGGACAACCCTCAACTTTTGCCTCTGACCTTCTTCTGACTGTGTAACTTCTGGGACGTCCATTTTTGTATTTGTCAGCTTCTCTAGAATATTAAAGTTTAATTGATAAATCATAGCAATACAGTAGAATTATAAAATTGTATTCAAGTTTCTACTATGGTATCATATTTTTTTTTACCTATTAGTTTTTGAAGCACTTGACCGTCATATAAGTCGTCCTCTAAATGCTTAACGATTATACGTTGCTCAGCTAGTTCATCGTTGATCCAATCGATCAGAATCGTTATCAAATTCTGCACTCTGGTGTCGGCAAGAGATTCAGGCTTGACAATTAGCATCTCTTGGTTTTCCTCTGTAACCGATTGCATTTTTTAAAATTCTGCAAGAATTTGAAGCAGAAATGGCAATTCATCACAATTTCCACAAATGGTAAAAAACCATTTGTAATCTTAAATAAATAAGAGATTACGATAAAATCAGTTACACCGGTTATAAAGTGATACAAGTCAGTGTGCAACAAGGACCACACCCAGTTTGATATTTTATTTAGGGTGTAATGCAATACAAACCAGTCATTGAGAACACATAAAAATGGAGTTGAGTAGTTTGAAAACAAGCTAATAGAAGAATGTTATTTTTTGTGAATATAATTGCAGAATATACATTTTTGACATTACTATGTAAAAAAACTCATTTGTTGCTAATCAATTTATTAAATTAATTAACTATTACATTTAGCTTTTTAATATCTAATATGTTTGGCAATGCGATTATTGTTTTGAAAAAAAAAAACAAACAAAAAACAGCTTAGTTAATTTTAATGTTAAGCTTTCATTACATGGAAAATGATATTTGACTGATCACTATCTTACCCAATAGATATACTTCTTGCGGGATGTCGGCATTCATCGGACTTCCTGGAGAGTCAATAGCATATTTGCCTTCTTCCTGGATTTCTTGGACTGAAAATAACAAAATACTTAACAAAAAGGAAAACACAAGTAAAGTTATTTCATGCATTATCTATTTATAAAGTTATTTTATTATTATTTAAAAAAAAAAATAATAAAAAAAAATAAATAAATAAAAAAAACCAGACCTTAGAAAACTATTCTTGTGCCTCAAGAAGAATTCTGCACTTCATTAAAGAAATTAAAATTCTTAGGCAAACCATTAGCAGAGATAAAATAAACAAAATTTTCATATTTATTATAGGAGTATGAAAATCTTTGTTCATTTATTTTTTTATGTGGGGTTCACAATAGCAGAGGTCATATCAACCTTGAGGTGCTGGTGTTTATATTAAAAAAATAATTTAAAAAAAAATAGCTTATTTATGTGTAGGGTTCAAATGCAGGATCTTTACCTTAAAGTGATAACGGGTGTCAACGGTTAAAGCCATTGCATGCACCGACACCCATTGTGAAATTCTTTGTTTCACATCTGTCCACATTGATCTTAATTTTCCATTTGTTGCTACCTAGTTTATTGCATTTTATTTTGAGCATTTCTATGGGTCTTTTATATTCTGTGTCATCTGAATATGTGGCAATATTTATATTGTGGTTTGATAGGATATCACTTATAGAATGACCATTATAAATTTTTATTTGTACATGTGTGATATAATATATACAATAATTTTAGAATGTAAAGAAAGAAACGCTTCACTATGGCTTCTTACTATTTACAACTAATCATTTTATATACAAAGAGGTATATGGTTTACCAAGAACCTCCTACATAAATTCTACTTGGGGAATGGACTCATAAACTTGGGAACTTGTAGGTTTTGTTTTTCAAGCCCACAATCGCCCATTGCTCCGGCCATTACATTTGTAAAAAATAAGTATACAACAAGGTATCCATCGTTCAGTATAGTGCCCACTAAACTAAAGTTGGCGGCATGTCAACCCCAATTAATAAGGCCTAGGATAGGCTTAGGATTAGTATAGTTGAATGAGAAGCTTGCTTATGGCTTTTCCACTGCTAGTTGCAAGAATCTGTAGCTACCCTCACAAAAACATTCAACATTTTCCGCGGTTTCCTTTTCTTTCTGGCAATATCTGCACAGTGTATCTTCTGTCTATACTCCTCATCCCTTAGGCAGCCAAAGTCAGGTTTTGGATTAAGGATCCATTTTTGTGGCAAGATGTGAGGCCACAGTAGTGTTATAATTCATGCTGACTCTTTTTTTGGCCAACAGGTCCATTTTCTCATTGCCTATATGTCCCAAATGCCTAGGGACACAAGCCAGGGTCATTTGTATTTCCGACTTCTGCCAGGGCTTCCATACAATTCTGTACAGTTTTTGCCATTATCTCAAATGTGTCTAAGGCCTTAAGTGCCACTAGACTCAGGGAAGATGGTATCTTTCTAGAATGTGTTCCTAGCATTTTTATTTATTTGGTGCAGTGTTCAATTTCCATGATTTCAGACTGGGAAACTGTAGCGTTTTAATGTAATTCAGTCTTCAGATTCATTCCGAGGATCCAGCTCCATGCCTTTATCCATTTTTGAGCCATCGGTATACCAATAGGAGTTGCCCTTCTCTTCCTTTGACCCACTCTCCTCTTTCTGGTATACCTTGTATTTGAAGTCTTTTCAGAGGATCTTCAGGAGAGGTCAAACAGAGAAAACTTCCTTATGGTTTTCACCGAGCTTTCAACAGTTTTATACTGTCATCTTCAGGGCCTGTTTTATTATCATATAAACAAACAATTAAAACATGAAAAAACAACAATTACAACCAAAATTGAATATCTTACTTTAAACCTTAATAGGGAATTAAACACCATGTTGTCCACCACAACAACGACCCATATATCTGGGAAAAAACTAGCCTTTAGACTGAAATCTAGAATGATACAGGACATTGTGCTGTGGTAAAATAATTAGGAAAAAAAGTAAAAATAACATGGCAATTCTGAGAAGGTCTCGACCAACTGGCAGGCTTCATTAATGTTTTAATTTATAACATGACCCAATTTGTTTATTTTACAGTAAAACACGACCTTAAATATTAGAATAAATGGATATTGGTTCTAAAATTTTTATCCTTTTTAAGCAAATCTGTTAAATGAGATATCGCCCATTAATTGGAGTTGTCATGGGTGTAAACACAACCATATAAGGCAATGTCAGTACACCTTTTATTTTTCGGCCTTTCAATAATTTATTATTGGAATAGTTTATTATATTTTTGTCTTTTACCTTCGCGAATACGCTTTTTTCTCCCGAGGGTTCCGATTTTCTCCCAGAAGGATTCGTCTTTTTCATCTTTCCTTATAGGAGTCCTGGGGGATCTGGGCCTGGGCGAAGCCATTTTTCACTGGCCTGCAGATGGATAACCGTGATCCTATCAACAAAAAAAACTGTCAAAAACGAATTATCTTAAAATTCCTTCCATAAATATTTTATTTGGGCTTTTTACGTTTGACGCTTAATCAATATTGAAATATAGTTGAATCGTAATAAAATGACAAAATAATCAGTTTCCCTCCATTATTTCAAATAGGAGGTTGCACTAGGGTTAAGCTTTACATTCCATCCCGTCAAAATTTAATTTGTCCTTATTTATTTATTTAAAAGTAAATTATTATGTCGCAATATTATTGCGATCTACTTTCCGAGCTTTCATCGCCTGTGGACCTGGCCAGAAACATTCGGGAACGACTGCCAAAAATTTTGGTAAATTTTATATTATATTGTTCATAACAGGTGGGTACATAGGGCATTTATTGTCTACTTGGGATAGTAAGACAAAAAAACCGACCTAAAAAGCTGTATTTAACATTATACTAATGTTCATGTTCTTCCAAATTTATCTCAAGAAACATGTAAGCTAAAATAATAATAATAAAATAAGCCCTACTTAGCTATAAACCTAGAATCTTGTTACCCTACTATTTGGAAGTAACAACAACAAACGATAAAATATATATTTTTCCTTTAAATTAGTTTTAAGTACATCATTGCCCTACCCATCAAATGTAGCCCTGGGATCGGAAAGCTTCTTGAACCTCTAAGAATAGAGCTGAGGATTGAGCCCTCTCGGAGAGCAGCAGGTGAGCTGAAGCCGGCCCATCTGAGAAGAGTCGTGCGAAGAAAACACTGTCGAATAGTTTGCCACAATTTGCATTTTGGGCAGCCCTTTCCAGTTTTGGGACATAACGATCAGGTGCAACACCCGGAATGGAAACCTAATGGGGAAATCTAGACTGAAAAGAAGCAGCTAATTTACATGTATTTTTATGAATACTTTATTTTAACAACTTCCACAATTGTATTACACTTAATTAAACTTAAGTTATCTATCCTTTTTAAAAAAGATGGTTCCTACTCACATTAAGTGTGTTCCTACTCGCTTCATGTGAGTAGGAACCATCTTTTTTAAAAAGGATTGAACTCCACACTCACCCCATCATTTATAATTTTTAATAAGTTATCTATTGTTTGGCATATAATACAAAGTAAAATAAATAAAATGAAAATGACAATTGATATACTGAAAGAAAGTCAGTTTAATTGATAAACATTGAGACCACTAATTCACAGTGTCTAAGATGGAGAGTATTGCGTTTACAAATACAAATACACCAATCTCCGTAGTTAGATCCGGCTGGAGAAATGCTGACTTTGCAGGAGGCCACTGTAGTCCTAATGTGACCACCTGTATCATTAAGTGTTCCTCGCTGATGCGACACATTCCGAAAGAAGGTTGACAGACTAAGATCCAAATCAATATTTCGTTTTCATTGATGGTTCGAGACCAGACCATGGAAGGAACAGGTGTGGGGTTTCGGTGGCCACAATGGTTTAGGCTAGGCTCATCACGGTAAGGTAAAGGTCCTGGGTTCAAATCCAGCAGCCCTGCATTTGAACCCGACATTACAAATGGGCATGGGCTTTTTTTCAAAAACTGCTAATTAGTGTCAAGAGCAAGATTTGAAGCCACGACCTTCGGCTCAATACTGCCGCTGCTCTACCACTTGAGCTATTGTGACTTCAATTCATTCAGACACCAACTCACCATCTCAACCTACAACCTTTTGAATTTTCCCTCTTTTCGCCATTTTTCATATATCGAGAAATCAGAATTCAATACTCAGCGACAGGGAGCTGTTAATGAAATAATTACTTATTTTAATTATTAAATTAATCATATTTGTTTAGTGGCCATTATTCCAATTAGTTATTCTTTTCATCTAAGGTTTTTGGTTGAGATGAAAAAGAGATGGGGAGTTGGTGTCCGAGTGGATCAAAGTCACGATAGCTCAAGTGGTTAGAGCCATGGTATATTGAGCCTAAGGTCGTGTGTTCGAATCCCGCTTGTGACACTAATTTTTCATCTCAATAAAAAACCTTAGATGAAAAGAATAATTAATTGGATTAATTTAAAATGGTGATTATAAAAGTTAAAATTATAAAGGGGGCAATTGGCCCTATTTGATTTAATGAATACTCTTATTCCTTGTAATGAAAAATGTTTTGTATTACCAAGAGTTTCAAACTACACAGAATATTTTCCGTTTACCAAAGTGCCATGCTGAGGAGTTCGTATTACTCAAAAATTCAAATTAACAAGTTTTGAATTAACAAGAGCCAACTGTATCTTTTTTTACTTTAATTCTTTTACACTACTCTCTTCCCCATTTTCCTTTCTCCACATCACACTCCATGCAGCCTATTCAACTACTTATTTTAGAATCTTCTTAAAGGGAATAAAATATTCCCAGTTTCTTAGCTGGTCTGCGAGTTAATGAACTTATAACAAATTGATTGACAGTCATAATTTTCTTGCTCTGTCTTGCTGGTCTACATTGCATCCATCCAGGTTTCAACTTTATGCCGTATTCATTAAAAAATTAATTTTGGTTTCATACCATCAGGATTTCTTGATTTTCTACTTAGCCCTAGGTTTTCTTAAAACAAAATTAATTTTTTCACCTTTGTCAGTTGGTTTTATTACAGGTAAAAACATGATAAGAATTTGCTTTATTTATTTATTTTTTCTTATTTTCTGTCTTTAGCAAATCCTTGAGAATGATGTTCAAAGTTCCTACTTTTTACAAGTGCTAACAACAATTTTGGGCCCTGTCCTTCATGAACTGGACATTGCTGACTACGAAAGCCATGTTCTACAACACGTTTTACCAGTTGTCAAAAATATTTTTGAAAACGTAAACAAAAATATAGCCTTTTAAAATGATTTTTATAATTATTATTTAAAATTATTTCTAGTGTGTTGATGAAGTGAACTCAACCCTGGAGAACACAGAGTCATACAATGAAGAAGTAACTATTACTTTAAGTAAATTATTGCAGGTAAGAAATTGCTGCCTTGATCGCATGACTGTGACTTTTTTTAACCTTTTTTTTCTTTTTCAGGTTTGCTTGGATGTTCTTCTTGGGTATTGTGAACTTTTGGATAATATTATGTCTATGCAATCAGTAGACGCTGAAAATGTGATAAGTTTGCACAGAACGATTTTACCGATATTACACAAAGCTTTCAACCATTGTAAAAATAGGTAGTTTACACTTTTTTTTATTAAACATACTTTAGTTATTTTTAAATATATTGGAATATTTCAGCGAAAACATTTATGGCTTGTATTTTGCCAATTCGACAACTATTCTCACCGCTTTTTTCAAAAAAAGCTACGAGGTTAAGTCAAAATATTACAAGATTTTAGAAGATAAAATTTACTTTCAAGCTACATACGAAGACAGTTTAACTTTGTTATTAGAAGGTATGTCATGGTTTTTTTAAACTAGATTTTTTATATCATCATAGACATTTTTTTTTTCCAGTTTTAGAATATATTTGTTCCATTGCTGAAATTGTAATTGAACTTGATGTCAAATCATCAGTAGATTCATGGCGACCTTTCGGTAAACTAGCTCATAAGTATGTTAATAATCTGAGAGATAGGCTGTGTTTAAAAACACCAATTTCTCTTATGGGTGGGAATATAAATCAGATTGTAATTCTCGTTTGTAAATCAGAGGTAAAACTGTAATTTTCTATCTTTGCAATTCGTTTTTAAATTTTCACCCTAATCCAGGCCCCGTTGGACGACAAGGATAGGACGAAGTACTTGAAAATTGGAAGTTTCTTACTTAAAGTCATCATCAAACTGTGTGAAGCGTACAAGAACTATTTGGCCGATTGCGGAGAAACCCTACTACGCCTTCTTCTCGTACTATACGGGTATTTAGAAATCAATTTTGAGCTTGACATTGTGATATAAAGTTTTGGGATGGGTTTAATAGAGAAAGACACCTTTTCGTTGAGGTTAAAACTGGAGGAAAACGCAATTTTATTGATTCAGTCAGAAGGTGGATTACGGTGCGATGCAGTTTCGTTGAAAGTTTATTCAGTCTTATACTGTATAAGAGAAGGTAACACAAGTATTGAATTTAACATGGGTTTATTTGACATGAATAACATAAATTTATAACAAAAGAGCATAAAATTTTGTGAAATATTGATAGATTTTATCATAACATCATAGTTTTCAGTCATATTTATTAAGTTTAAACCTGATATGACAAGTTTACAGTATCTTTAAATTCTCATATTAATATTTTTTATTATAATTACCTACTTTTTATCGGTATGAATGAGGCTTTTCTATCTATTTTACATTTCAACTAAAGCTAAAAACTTAATTGTTGGTGTCAAAAAATTTTATAACTTAAATTCTCCACTTACCATACCTGGAAATTTAATGATTATCTATCTATGATAACTAAAGAGCATAAAATTTTATAAAATATTGATAGATTTTATCATAGCATCATAGTTTTCAATCATATTTATTAAGTTTAAACCTGATACGAGAAGTTCACAATACCTTTCAATTCTCTTATTAATAATTTTTAGTATAATTACACAATTTTCATCAGTATGAATTCTACTTTTCTATCTGTTTTACATTTCAACTAAAAATAAAAACTTTTCATGGTGAAAAAAAAATTTATGACTTAAATTCTCAAATTACTGATGCCTTTAATCTTGTAATATGCTTACACTCAAAGAAAAAAAGGCACTCATATTTTGTTGTTTATTTCAAATTTAAATGTTGAATGTATTTTTATAGTTATATTAATTACACAATACTTATTTTAATATAAACAAAATTAAACGAGATCAGAAATCCATGAGTTTTAATCAACATTATTAATTATGGAAGGTATTGGTTGAGATAAAAAAGTCAGTGACACGAGCGGGATTCGAACCCACGACCTTCGGCTTGATACGCCGCTACTCTACCACTTGAGCTATTGTGACTTCGATCCACTCGGACACTACTTCCCATCTCAACCTCACCTCTCGAATTTTCCCTCCTTTTCGCCATTTTTCAATTGTCGTGTAATCTATTTGATTCTCGGCAACAAATGAAATGGCCACAGAGAGCTTTCGTGAAGATATACTTCAGTTTAATTATTAAATCCATTGCAGTTCGTGGTCCGATTGACCAATGGACATTTTTCAATTATTAATTATGATGATTTGAAAGAAAATTCACCAAAACACTAGAAAATCATTTAGTGATATATTAACATTTAACTAACAATTTATCAAGTTTTACTCTTAATATTATGCATATTACCTCCCAGAGGGCTTTAAATCACCTTGGCATCGAGTAAAATAGGCAATCGGATTTTGTCTTGTGAAACAGAATTCTTCTACAAAGCAGTTTGAAGCAAACAATCTCGCCCATCGCTTTATCCACGTTTCTTATAAAAATTTTAATTTTTAATTTAAAAAATGGCCAAGGTAGAAGAAAGTTGCCTATCATTTTATTAAATACACAATTTTGTTTAACGATTTTTTATTTGGGAATTTAATTTTTTGGTGTATTTTTACTTTTTTTTTTTATCTTACACATTTTTTCATAATAATTTTAATTTTTTTATGTACATTGCCCGAAATGTCCAAAAAATTGTAAATAAGTACTTTTTTATTTAAAAAATCCACATGTAAAATGTATTCTTACATAAATAAAAAAAAATTAAATAAGACAAATTAATCTTAAAAATTCCATTTTAAATAAAAGTCTCTAGAATGTATAAATTACTTGATCAATTTAATTAAAATTAGTATGTATATAAATAAATTGTTTTAGTTTGAAAGGTACAAAATTAGACCAGTCTGTCATGAACGATCTTCAAAGATACATGACCATAGGAGCTTCGCCACTTATATGCCACTTGATAGAAGACAGTGGTTTTTATGATGTTGGTTTAATTTTGTTTAAACGTAGACAACTGAGAATGAGTTTGAAAAACAATTAATCATACCACAGGCTTTAGAAAAGCAGAGGACAGATGTTGACAACCTGGACGAGAAAGAATGCTTCAGCTTTTTCCTGGTAGTGCTCGTACTTATGAAACAACTGATCGTTAGCAATCCAAAGATAAAATGTATCTGGTCTAATTGCCCTCTGGTTGAAACAGCAATTCTTTTATATGGGAAATGTAAGATATTTTGGAAATTTTAAATAATCTGACAATCGGTAAAAATTACCTAATATAAAAAAATTTACAGGTGGTTTGGACATTGATATAAATACAAAATTAGAAAATGAACCGTTCTATAGTATATTTATTTCGACAGTTTCAGCCTATATAATTTCCTCTTATGATCAGGCAAAGTATTCAGAACTGGAAATTAATTTGGTTAAAAAATTATTCCAGCCTGAAATTCATGTTGCTTTGTTTGTATCAGATTTATTTTGCTCGATATGCAGGTAATTTATTGTCATCACTACCGTTAAAAAGCCTATTGTATTTCTTTTAAAATTTCAGATTAACGAATAATGCATTATGTTTCGATATTTTATGCTATTTTTGCAATTTATTATGTTCATGGCCAGTTAATACAAAATGTAGGCCGGAGTACACGATTGTTGGTACGACAACCGCCAGGCTGTTTTCACTGCTTCCGAAGAAATACCAACACTCTTTAAAATCTGAATATCCTGTCAAGGAGAATCTAAGCCTATGGCGTTGGTTTGAAAAGACGAGCGATGTGATTCCAGATATTTCAAATGATTTTTTAACCATTTTTAATAGCATATGCGATATTAAAACGCTTACTGCTTATAACAATCTGGTAAGATTATATCGTTTTTAATATTTTACGCGTTTCATTTTATCCCAGCTATTTATTTTCAGGTTGACATGATGGATATTTACTTTAAGCAAGATGATTTTCTTGAAATCGCCAACAGCATGGAAATATTCGACGGTATTATGACTTGTCTCAATTGCTGTTCGGTCAACTGCAGCCAGGATAATTTGACATCAAATTGGGCTGATTATTTATTCATTAGCTTACTGAAATTCACTGGTAGTTTTATGACATCCTCAAAAACAGAAATGTCATTGTGTTCCAGCCGTACACTCGAGGTATGTAACTGTACGCATAAAAGTACAATTAATTGTGAATACTTGGGTGTGGGTAAGCTTATAGCTTTTCTTTATGGAATCAACATTAATATCGACAGGCTCGGACTAATTGACTTATAAAGCGAATTATATAAATTGAAAAATTGTAAAATAGTATAGAACTATTGAAATGTAAAAATAATCAGCCAAATCAGTTTTTGACTGAATTTTTGTCCGTGCTAGAACAACAAAATCCAGTTTACCCCTGCTAAATAACATCTTGACATTGTCTAATTAAACGGTACTTTTAAATGTATAAAAAGTGTAGTTTCTTCTGCTCAAAGTGTAAAATTTCAATTGCATCAGGTAAAAACTATGATAAATGTCTTTGAGGAACAATTAAAAAAAGCTGCGTTAAGAAAACCGGAAATAAAAGAAAATTGTCAAAAGTTAACAACAACATACAAATCGAATGCATCTTCTTTTCAAAATAAAGTAGCTAACAAAATTAATGGGGATGCAAAAATCGAGAAAATTAAAAATGAACTTTTTTCAAAAGTTGTTCTTCGAGAAATAAATGCAACCTGTTTATTTTCCAAAATTGGCTTCAAATTCAAATAAAACTTCTGATTCTGAGTAAGAACATCAAGCCAATAGACTTTCATATGTTCCTATAAAATTAATGTAAAAATACTTTTACAAAACGTTAGATTCCTTACCCGCTTTAAAACTGTATAATAAAGAATAAATTTTTAAAAAATCGATCTGTTAAAAAAATTGAAATTTTTTTTAATGTATGTGTCAGAAAATATGTCTGGGTCTGTAGCAAGCATAATATTCCAGATTTCCCAGGATAAGGCTACAAAATTCGAGAAATTTAGGGTTTATTTTACTCCAAAATTATGCTCATAGCACAAATGTTCTTTCTTTGAAACTACGTTACTTAATACACGTTAAGGGTTTGATAGATTGGTAGATACACAATTGCTATATGCTAAACTTTTTTGTAATGTTTTGGAAGATATCTTAATGGATATAATAAGGACTAAGACTTCACCCAAAACTATCCTTAATGGGCAATAGCTTTGGGGTGGTTAGGACTACTGGAACTGACTTAGAAATCTGTTTTGTTTTGACCTGAAATTCGATCCCATCAAATTTGGATTTTTTGCATTCAACGGACGACCTAAGACCACACTTCCAATAAGAATAGAATTCATTTAAATAAAAGCTTTAATTAAAATCTTTTAAATCAAAATTTATAGAACTCAATATCAATTTTTTAAAAATATAATTAGTTATTCTTGCAAAAGTATCACCAAAATAGTTGCACATTCCATATTTAGAAATTATTTTCCTATTTGTCCCATTATAATATCCTCTCCTAGACGATAATTTTTTTTTACGGTTCATGTCTCCATGGCGGGCCAGGAGGACCTATTCAATTTTCATAAGTGTAAGAAATATTTAAGAAAAATAAGATAGACACGTCCTATAATTGACATGTGATTAGATCGTCTGCCTGTTTTTAAGCAAATTTGCCCTTTTCCTATTGGGGTGTCCGGAAAATAATGCAGGATTTTAAGTTTTCATTAAAAAANAGTTACCAACACGTTGGGAGAAATGTATTGAGAGTATGGGAAATTATTTTGATTAAAGAACATTGCTTTAAAGTAACTAGTTTCTTTTTTTTTTGTTTAATACCAAAATCCTGCATTATTTTCCGGACAACCCAATAGATTTTTGATGTGAAGTTGTTTGGATTTTTTGTAAGTGGGTTGACAAATTCTTCTATAATTCTTTTAATTCAAAAAAATTTTTTAAAAAATTCATAAAACATGCCAACAACAGAGCAACTACTTCTGACAGACAAATGGCTCTAACAAGTCTGTTACGATGTGAGAGCTCACATCGGACAATAAAGTTGTCCTTTAGTCATGTTCAGTGAGACCAGCCTTAAACTGATCAACACTGATTGCTTTACTTGGTCCAACTATTCTCGCTTGTTTACATATCAGTCATACTTGTTTCAACTTCAATAATCAGAAGTGTTGATAAGTTCAAATCAATGTATGTAGTTATAGTAAATACATTTTTAAAAAAGCATAACTTAGTATTGTACGTAAACTGGAAAATGTATATTTTATTGTTTTTAGATTTCTATATCCTAAGTAAAGGCCGTAAGTAAATATTTCAAACAGACCCTTTTACATTGTACATAAACTCACTACATACAACAGTATAAATAAATACAATATAAGGACCAAAGAATGGCTGTACAGAAACCCTCAGCTGGGCTCAAGAAAATAGACAGACTCAGAGTTTATCAAGTTTTTAACCTTGTATTTATATTTGTGTTTGATTATCACTGTTCATCATACGTTAAAAAAATCATAACTTATGAAATTATTTTTTTATTATCATTATTTTTTTAGATTTTCAACTTTCTTCAAAGATTTGTTCAAAGCTATAATGCCAGTGCAAAAATTGCTATCGCACGATTCCTTCAAAGTGTGACAAAACTGAGAATCAGTCAGTGCAAGGAAGAGACGGCAATTTTTGACGCCGTGTCCTCGCTGTTGGTACGGTTGCTCAACGACAAAGACTTAATCGTAAAGCAGACAGCACTTCAATCCTTTTCATCTATTGCAAGATCACCCAACGATCAGGTTGTCAAGACCGTTTCCAAAATTGACAATGCCGCTCAACAAATGCTGCATCGTTACAATCAAAACGGTACAGATCAACGGTACAAACCGTGTAAACTCGTCGGAACGGTTTATCTTCATAAGTGCATCAAAATGGAAGAGGAGAGTGAAATCGACAGCCTGCTCGTCGGTCTTCCTCCAGCAAAAAAGCAAAGAATAGACGAAAACGATCTGTTAATCTGTCAAGCTTTAGAAGAAATAAAGAAAAACGTAAAAATTATTAAAGAATTATCTTCTCAACAAAGTTTAAGTGTAAGAACAAAATTATTACTAAAAGAAACATTAAACGACTTGAATAGCGTAAATTCTGTTTTGTAAATTTGTTTAAATATTATGTTTCTTAAAGATTATTTAAAAAATTTTATTAAGAAAGATATTTTAAAAAAATACATGAGATGTTCAGTAAATATGCATATTACAATATATTCCTTAAAAGATAAAAATGCAAGGAAATCTCGTTTATAAATATTGAAAGTTTGTACATTAATTATTTAAAATATCTTGTTACCAAAGAATTAATAAAACTATTATTAATTTATTTCCTGAAAGAGTGGTTTAGGCAATTATATTGTAAATAACAATGTGTTGTAAACCTTTTTTAAATGTAAATATAAATTTTCACGAAAATGATTTATCTCGAGTTTTATTAACAAAAATAATTATTTTTCATGAAACTTTGTGTAAATTATGCTTTGTTTATTTATCCACCAAATCTCTAGTAGGTATAATAAAATTTGGTTTAAATTGAACACCAAGCCGACGTTGCCAAGGTAGATGCCATATAGATAGTATGGCTTAAATTATATCTATAAATAAAGACAACAAAGATTTTTTTTTTTTTAATGGCTACTCGCTGGACGACGATTGTTTTATTTAAATAGTAAATAGATTAGCGAAGCTTCATTGTTATTTTGGGAACAGTCACCTTTGGCTCTGCCTCTTAATAAGTGGCTTAAAATATCTAGCTCATTATGAAATAATTATTCTTTTTGATATGGATCTCTTTTATTATCACGATAACAATTGAATAAAGTATTCGTGTATGGAAAATAGGTGAACGTTATTGAGCTTACATATGTTTCTGGGTGTTATTTTGTTAAAGATAATTATAGCTCGTAAAAAGTTAATTTCTAAACAAACAAAAAATTCTTAAACTAGGTCGAATTTTAAGAGGATGGGTGTTATTTTCAGAATAAATTATGTAACATATTTATCAATTTAATAAGTAGCAATGGTTCTTTTTACGGTTGCTGCTAATAAGGGCCATTTATCCAGAATCTTTTTAAAATTGTGCCAAATAATCAACAGTCGGCTAATTCATTCTTGCCATTTTCTTTTTTGTTTCATTGCCAATCTTGAGCCAGATAAAACTGATCCGTCACCCGTTCCAATGTCAATTTTGCTGTATCATTTCAGACAGAAACACCGAAGATGGTGTAAAAGAGCGTCTGCCCGCCAGGTGAGAAATGATGAGTGCAAGAGTTCCAATTGCAATCAGGCTTTCAAAATGATTGATGATGACCAGGTGACAGTTTTGAACCCACCTTGGACAGAAAATTAAAGAGAGAAAAAAACCTGAGAACAAATTGCCACTTCATGCTTATTTAGTTTTAACATTTAAATGTTCTTATTAGCGATCTTACAAGAATATATAAACTAGAAAATTATTTTTCCACTATAACTGAAGATTTAAATGGTACTTATTTTCAGAGGACATTCATATAAACGAAAAGTGGTGAAAGTTAGAGAATCCATGATAGATTTCATTTTATTCAAATAAATATGCTTCAAAAAATGTCATAGCTCAGGCTGCGATTGCATTCTATAGAAAGCCAACATTTAGTTCTACACAAATTAACAAAGAAAAAAAAGTTGAGGGAATTATTTAGAAACCAATCATTGAACGGAAGAACTAGAGAGATTGGTTCATATTTCAGCAAGACAATATGCCAATGTTATGCTAAATTAAAAATGATGATTAAGCTGGCCAATAAGCCAAAAATATTTCAACTTTCTGGCTTTGAAGACGGGACATTTTGAATCTGTCTATCCTCCCTGCATTGGTCAGCACAGACACATTTCGGCAATTCACCATCTTCAGTGTGGCTGCGTGATTTTTTACAATTTTATGGTTATTTTATGAACCAATGTTTAGTCTAAACAAAGGCCAAACAAACCATAAATAATGTGTGAAGTTAATGACATTGGAACATGTTGATCTATTGAAGGACTGCCTGGTTTATTTATTTGTTTGATTAGTTTAGTCGGAAAAAATCCCACAATTTTCAGTGCTGATTGTCACGATTCAGTTTTGAGGTTAATGAGGCCATTTTCTTAAGAACCTTCCATATTGTTTACTTGTAGGTAAATTGGGTTTAAGAAAGTACTCAGTCAATTAAACATTGGCCCAAAACATACTGAGTTTAAAAATAGCCCAAGCTATAAAAATGGAAAGAAAAGGTCTCCAAAATAGTTAACGAACTGGGCTTTAAAGTACCCAAAATACCATAAACAATATGTGTAAGTTATCAACATTGGAACATATTGATCAATTTAAGGACTGCCTGGTTTATTTATTTGTTTGATTAGTTTAGTTGGAAAAGATCCCACAAATTTCGCTGTTGATTGTCACGATTCAGTTTTGAGGTTAATGAGGCCATTTTCTTAAGAATCTTCAATATTGTTTAGCTTGTAAGTAAATTTGGCAATTAAGCAGTGTCCTAAAACATATTATGTTTAAAAATAGCCCAAGCTGTAAAAATGTAAAGAAAATGGATTGTCTTTAAAATACCCTAAACAATATGCGATTTTTTTATTTTTAGTTATTTATTTTTTTATTTAGCAATATGCGAAGTTGTCGTAACGACATTAGAACGTGTTAATCGATTTAAGGGTATTTGTTTGTTTGATTAGTTTAGTTACAAAAGAACCCACAAATTTCGCTGTTGATTGTCACAATTCAGTTTTGAGGTTAATGAAGCCATTTTCTTAAGAATCTTCAATATTGTTTAGCTTGTAAGTAAATTTGGCAATTAAGCAATGGCCTAAAACATATTATGTTTAAAGATAGTCCAAGCTATAAAAATGGAAAAAAAATGGATTGTCTTCAAAATAGTTAACGAACTGGGCTTTAAAATACCCTAAACAATATGCGATTTTTTTTTTATTTTTAGTTATTTATTTATTAATTTTTTTAATTTAGCAATATGCGAAGTTGTCGTAACGACATTAGAACGTGTTAATCGATTTAAGGGTATTTGTTTGTTTGATTAGTTTAGTTACAAAAGAACCCACAAATTTCGCTGTTGATTGTCACGATTCAGTTTTGAGGTTAATGAGACCATTTTCTTAAGAAACTTCAATATTACTTAGGTTGTAAGATAATTCAGTTTAAAAAAGTACTTAGTCAAACAACCATTGGCTTAAAACCTACTGGGTTTAAAGATAGCCCAAGCTCGAAAATTAAAATTAAAAGGATTCTCTTGAAAATAGTGGACTGGGCTTTAAAGTACCGCAAATACCATAAACAAATGTTGATCAATTTAAGAATCGCCTGGTTTATTTATTTGTTTGATCAGTTTGGTTCCAAGAGATCCCACAATTTTCAGTGCTCATTGTCTCGATTCAGTTTTGAGGTTAATGAGGCCATTTTCTTAAGAAGAAGCTCGAATATTAAAAAGAAAAGGAATTATCTTGAAAATTGTTTAACACTGCTATTTAAAAAATCCAAAATATTCTAAAAAATCTGCGATGCTGTCGTAATGAGATTGGAACCATGTTGATCAATTTAAGGATCGCCTGGTGCATTTGTTTGTTTCGTAAGTTTTGTTTCAAAAGAACACCAGAAATTTTGCTGCTGATTGTCACGATTCAGTTTGGTTAGAGATAACTGAAAACCAGTGGCCCAAAGCATGTTGATCATTGGGGACAGCCCAAGATGAGAGGGTTCAATGCTCATCGATTACGAATTACTAGTTTATTTATTTCTTTTTTTGCATACATTCCGTGGTGTTTGTCGAAAGTCAGAACTGACGTTAGTCAATTAGCTTCTCAAATCAATTAACTACTAACCTAAAAATTGCACGAGACAAAGGAAGATAAAATACAAACGAAAGTATTATTATTGGCAGATAATTCTCTACATCTGGAAAAAAGCCAGAACATCGATTCTAACCTTTGGCTCAACCTAATTTTATTAACTCTAGACAAACAAATTGAGACGATTATCGCTACAAAATAACTTTTCGTACGTAAAGGATGTTGGCCAGTAATCCCTCTCATCAGGAGGCTTAGTATGACAAATTACTATTATTTTATGGTATTCAAGTAAAACAAATGTAGCTGTAAAAGTTGCATTTATCTTTTAGGGATTAGGCCTAAGAGAAGATGGTAAAAAATGAAACTGTCGTTTTGAAATAACATGGATTAAGACATCACTTTTTTAAACATCGTGCCTATTAATAGCGCATTAAAATTGTTTGTTTATTCAAGAATCGCCGTTATTTTACGATTCTGCGGTAAAGAATGAGCTCGCCGAGGAAGCGGGTTCCCGTGGCAAATGTCTCAAAATAATATACGAATACTTATTGTTGAAAACGTCTTCGTCTGCCACCTTAAATCTAACGGGAAACAGATCCCACCTGCTTTTTCTTGGCAGTAACGGCCAGTTTCGTGTTCTTCTCAAGAGCGAATTGTAAATTTACAGTAATTATTTGTCTAAACGACCGTGAATATGGTAGTTTTACGCAAGATAGTCCAAAAATATACGGGGCGGATTTTCAAATTGACCACAACATCTTCCACACCGTGGCCGTAATCTTTGAAGAATATAGAAAAAATGTTTATTCTTATATTTATATATGGTATATATTTTTTATACAATTTTTGTCTATACGCAGTCAGTGAACCATGGTTTCAACGAACGAATGTGATGGATAATACTAATGTCGCTACTACATTAGATGATTTTCGAAGATCGTTAGATGCGGTCTTGTGTGACGTATGTTTTAAAAAACATTTTCTTTATCGTGCCAATGTTTCGATCTTTATTGAGATCATCTTCAGGGCCTGGGAATTATAAACATTGTTTACATTTTACAAATACATGTAGGATGTGAAAAAAATGAATTTATACAATACTAGAAAATTTTAGATAAAAAATAAATTTATACAATGATAGAAAATTTTAGATTAAAAAAATGAATTTATACAATGCTAGAAAATGTTTAGATTAAAAAAATGAATTTATACAACGCTAGAAAATTTTAGATAAAAAAATGAATTTATACAATGCTAGAAAATTTTTAGATTAAAAAAAATGAATTTATACAATGCTAGACAATTTTAGATTAAAAAAATGAATTTATACAATGCTAGAAAATTTTTAGATTAAAAAAATGAATTTATACAATGCTAGAAAATTTTAGATTAAAAAAATGAATTTATACAATGCTAGAAAATTTTAGATAAAAATGAATTTATACAATACTAGAAAATTTGAGATTAAAAACGAAGGAATTTATATAATGTTAGAAAATATTTGGATTTTTAAAAAAATTATACAATACCAGAAAATTTGATATTAAAGAACGAATGAATTTATACATTGCTAGAAAATTTTAGATATAAAAAAATAAAAATAAATATATTTTTTTGTGTCTAAAGTTTTCTAGCATTGTATAAATTCATTTTTTTTTTTAATTTAAAATTTCTAACATTTTATAAATTCAAAATAATTTTTTTTTTCACAACCTACATGTATTTGTAAAATTCAAACAATGTATATAAATCTCAGGCTCTGAAGATGATCTGAATAAAGATCGAAACGTTGCCACGATAAAGAAACTGTTTTTCTAAAACCTACGTCACACCAGATCGCACCTCACGATTTTCAAATAATAATTGACTAACGGTCACTAAACACCACACAATACTAATTAGATATTATAACATTTAACTAGCTTGGGAAATTGCCCACTTAAGAAAAATTCGATCGATAATAATTTTCTTAGCTGTTTCTTTTTTGGGCCATGAGCCTGCTGAAATTGTATTTGTAATAAATAAATAAATCGTATAAATTTCTTTGATCTTATGCCCGTTCTTTTTGGTCAAGTGTTATTAATTAAAAACCGTTTTGGAGCGGGGACAACGAGTTTGCCGACCACCAAAGGCTTGCCAAAATTGGCCCGTTGAGTCACTCCGTCTGAGAAATTCTATTTCAAACATTTCGTTAGATCACAATAGCAATAGACTGGGTGAAAACGCTCATTTGACCTTTAGCACGAAAGCAGGTTAAAGATATGCGAAGTCCGGAATGCGAAGAACGGATTGGTGTGAGAAAAACATGCGGACATCCTCTGGAGATGGTGGATTACACGAAGAAATACACCGAAGGGTCCGAAGAAGAAGAAAAAGTACAACAACTGAAACTGAACGAAACAAGACTTAATTTTTACAGAACTTACAAAAGTTTCTAGTGCGAGAGAAAGATCTTGATATTCTCTGGTGATGGGATATTACAAGGAGAAATACGTTTAAGAATCTCCTGGAAATAGATCAGAGTAAAACCTATAAGTGATTATAATGCATCAACAGGAACAGAACTAACCTCCGCAGAACGTTCAAAAGTGACTAGCGTGAAAGAAAAGTGCGGACATCCTCTGGGGATGTCATATCACAGGGAGAAATATACGAAAAGAGTCTGCTGGAAATAAACTAGCATAAAATGACTTTATGAAAATAACAGGAACAGAACGAAACCAAGACTTCTCCAGTGAAAGTTCAAAAGAAACTAGCGTGAGAGAAACGTACGGTCATCCTCTGGAGATGACCCAGGGAGAAATATACGAAAAGAGTCTGCTGGAAATAAACTAGCATAAAATGAATTCATTAAAATAACAGGAACAGAATGAAACCAAGACTTCTCCAGTGAAAGTGCAAAAGAGACTAGCGTGAGAAAAACGTACGGAGATCCTCTGGAGATGTCCCAGGGAGAAATATACGAAAAGAGTCTGCTGGAAATAAACTAGCGTAAAATGACTTTATGAAAATAACAGGAACAGAACGAAACCAAAACTGCTCCAGTGAACGTACAAAAGAGACTAGCGTGAGAGAAACGTGCGGACATCCTCTGGAGATGGAATATTACAGAGAAAATTTTTCCAAAGAGTCTGCTGTGAGCAGAGGTACGTAAAACGTACAAAAGTACGAGCGAAATATTTAGGCATTCACAGAATGACAAATACAACGTGATATGCCAGCCAGGATATCGATGAACAACGATTTTTCGACTAAACTTTGCCAAAAAAACTATGTATTTAATACAATTTCAACTACTGTGAGCAGCGTGGTGGAAATATGCTGTTTAATACAATAATATTAACGCGAAAGATACATACGGGCAAAAACTGAAGATGACAGACTATAGTGAGAAGTGTAACCCAGATTTCTGCTTGAAATATGCAAGCAGAGCCTACGGATCACTGGTTTGATGGAAAACAAAAAACATTACGGCTAAGCTACTGCTCAGAGACTGCTGTGTCGAAGATCACTAGGGCAATGCGAACAACCCCCACGGCTGCCTTGGAAGTCCTTCTGAATCTACCCAACCACCACTACACGTCTTTATCCAGGGAGAGTGCATAATTTATAGGCAAGTGCAAGGGCAGGCTTCAATAGCCTACTCACAAAACAAGGAGCAAATAAAGCTTCGAGGCGAGCTTCAGCTAGACAGAACTTTGGGGATGCCTGCAGATGGCCATGACCCCTAAATTCAGTTTTGTCAAATAATTTCTAATCAAAATACCTTGTAGAGTAGACTAGGAGAAAAGGATTCCATTTAATGCCGACTATATCTGGTTTACAGATGACTCCAAATCGAAATCAGGAGCTGGCATTTATGGAAATAAACCAAGGACTAGAATTCATATAAGCCTTGGACAACATCCCTCCCAAACTATGGCTATTGAACACTGTGCCAGGGAGATTAAAAGGCTGGGTATTGCCAATAGGAGAATAGTCATCTACTCGGACAGCTAGGCGGTACTGAAGGCAATTGTCGCATCGGCGGTAAAGTCCAGAGTCGTTTGGGTCTTCATTAGACCCTATCAGGCAGAGGGGCAATGAAGAGGTCGATAAATTGGCCAAGGAATGTTCGATGACCTATTGGCCTTGAACCCTTTTGTGGCTTACTAAACTGATCTATTAAACAACGGATTACTAATAAGTCCTCCGTTCAACGGGAATGTAGCCCGAGACAGAGGCATGCGAAAAAGTTTATCGAAGGACCATCGCAGACCTCAACGGCAGATCAGCTGAGGAAAGGTCTAGAATAATATTTGTACTGCTAACTGGGCACTGCAGACCCCGGAGGCATATGTATAGACTGTGGTAGAAACAAGCCTGTGCAGATATTGCCAAGAAGAAGAATAGCCAACGGAACGCATCCTTTGGTGCGAAGGCCTGTGTAGGCTGAGATTCCTAATCCTGGAAGAGGAAAAGCCAGGGCTGGAGGATACTGGGAGCCCTTGAAAAAGCTTTGGAGTCTGGTAAAAAGCCTTAAACTTAACGCGGAACACTACATAAAAATGAGGATACACAATATACCAAAAATATATAAATATATACGGACACACCGTGAAGATCGATGATAATGGATTCAACTGCGAATTTATGATGTCAAGTTTGTTTAAACAATTTATTTATAACATAATTTAGGCTGGTCGATTTTTTCTCTTCTCCAAAGTTATCGAATTAGATTTTGTATAGCTACATTTTCATTGTAGAAGATTTCAAAAACATATTTTACCAAGCGGGTTAAAGAGTGCTAAAAAATAGACCAGAAAAGTTATCGAGAGGACAAAGGTCTAACCTTGATAGAACTTATAAAATAGTCTAGCGTGAGAGAAAAACGGTGACATCCAATGAAGATTGAAAGCCCTGTCCAACTGCGGATTTATTATTCGACTATTTCTGTCTTTCAAGCCCCAAGCCCAACGATGTAAATTGGACTAATTTTTTTCTCTTCAAGGTAAAATTTGAGCTTTTCTTCATATTTCCCAGTCTTATTTTACCAACGAGAAACAATTTAACGAATCGGTTATAGAAAAATGTTCAAACCTTTGGTATTTTTTCGTTTTAATGCCACCCATCTTTTCAGTTCTGAGGACTTTTTTTGCGGATTTGCGTTGGCTTTGAGCCCCGTACGTGTTGCTTTCCGACCTCGCGTTTGGTTCAGTAGGTCAGGCTTTACCTAATCCCATAGCAGGACCTTTTGACGAGTTTAATTTAAACAGAGGCAAGGAAGAGAAGAAAATAAAAGAGAGGGGCGGTTTATGTGTGCTGAGCCAAAACCACCAAGACTAACAGTCCTTGTGATTAAGTCGGCCCAGTAAGTACCCTTTAGAAGTCGGTTAATACTTAATAAAGTGATTTGGAAAAAAAAATAAATAAATTGCCACCGGTTCTCAAACCATTTCATACACTGAACTGTAAGGTGTATTTGTTTTATTAATTAAAATTTCTTAGGTCAAAAATCGTTTCATTCTCGTGACATACAATTTAGACAAAATTTTGTATTTTTGTAATGTAAAAATAATCTGTGTTCATTTGCCGGCAGACAATGGCGGAAGATGAATCAGAAACGAAAAAATCGACAAGACTCGCTCCTCCAACAGAGGCAAGTATCACCAAGTCATACATGAAATAATCGTCGACGAAAAATGCGTTTAACATTGTTTTTGTTGAAATTATCCTTCTAGTCCGTCTTCCTTTGTATTTGTTTTTCCTCGATGGTAAAGATTTTCCAGAAATGAAAATAAAGTTTGTTTAAATTTTCCTATTGCAGATTGATATTTATTGATGATGTAGGCATGACATTATTACACCAACTTCAGCTCATAAGAAAACGAAGTTTGATTTTAAAATAAAGTTGAGTGAAGTCCTACATGAAATAGGACGAAAAAACGTGTTTAACATTGTTAAATTATCCATCTAGCCATCTGTTTTTATTTGTCCTTTCATGATGGTGAAGATATTTCCTCAAATAAAAAAAAAGTTTGCAGTTCATATTTTCCTTTTACAGGTTGATATTTATGGATCATGTAGGCATGGCATTATTATATCAACTTCAACAGGAATGATGTCATTTCACCAACTTTATCTCAAAGAATACAAAGTTTGATTTTCAAATGAAGTTGAATGAAGCCCTTCCTACATGAAATAATCGTCGACGAAAAGTGTTTTATTAATTTTTTTAATTATCCATCTAGCTTTTTTTTATTTGTTTGATATTTCTACAATTTGCCGTTCAAATTTTCCTTTTATGGGTTCATCAGCATATTTATAGATCATGAAGGCATGGCATTATTATATCAACATCAACTCATAAGAAACCAAATATGATTTTCAAATGGTGTTGAATGAAATCCTACATGAAATAATTCTGGAGGAAAAACATGTTTTATTATTATTTTTTTAATTATCCATCTAGCTCTTCTTTTTTTATTTGTCTTTCCACATTGGTAAAAGAATTTTTCACAAATAAAAATAGTTTGCTGTTCAAAATTTCGTTTTAGAGGTTGATATTTATGGATCATGTAGGCATGGCATTATTATATCAACTTCAACTTATAAGAAAACTAAATATTTAGTAGTAATAGATTTTCAAATGATGTTGAATGAAGTCCCACATGAAATAATCCTGGCTGAAAAACATGTTTTATTATTATTTTTTAATTATCCATTTAGCTCTTTTTTCATTTGTCCTTCCACAATGGTAATGATTTTTTCACAAATAAAAATAGTTTGCTGTTCAAAATTTCGTTTTAGAGGTTGATATTTATGGATCATGTAGGCATGGCATTATTATATCAACATCAACTCATAAGAAACCAAATATGATTTTCAAATGATGTTGAATGAAGTCCTACTTGAAATAATTCTGGATGAAAAACGTTTTATTATTTTTTTTTAATTATCCCTCTTTTTTTTCATTTGTCCTTTCATGATGGTAAAGATTTTTTCACAAATAAAAATAAAGTTTGCTGTTCAAATTTTCCTTTTACAGGTTGATATTTATGTATCCTGTAAGCATGACATTATTACAATAACTTCTTCTCATAAGAAAACAACAATGAAGTTTGATTTTCAAATTGAATGAAGTACTACAAGAAGTAATTATCGACAAAAAAAAACCTGTTTTGTTTATTTATTTAAATTATCCATCTAGCCCTTCTTAAAAAAAAATCTTTAAAATTATAATTTGCTGGTTCATATTTATTTTATCTATCGTGTAATTATCTCATTATTACACCAACTTCATCTCATAAAAAAGTTTCATTTTCAAATGAAGTATCAACTTGATAAATTTTTTTTTAAAATAAATTTAAGATCTAAAAACACCAAAGGAGTGTAAACAAATATTTAAAAAAAATAGACAGTGCAACCTCACAAAAATAAGCATTTGTTAATGAACCAAGTACACACAAACAGTTGGCCAGCAGGGTGACCAAACCTACAATTTGATCATTACTGACCAGTTTGATTTGCCTATCCTCACTGGTCTGTCTGGGGTGTTTCAGCATTTTGCCATATTTATTGTTGGGTCTGGGTGATTTTTCAGATATTTATTATTAACTAGGTTTTATTTTATCGGATTTCCTCACACAGACCTTGCTCTGACGATGGTGAAATGCAAAATGAAGTAACCGTATAGTGCGAAGTTTCAGTTGAACTTTTAGTATTAATTTAGCTTAAATGAAAAATATCTCAAATTGTTCAGGCTACACAGCTAACAAAAATTTTTAATTCAAAATTTTTTTTACGATCTTTTATTAGAAAAAGCACTAGTGGTCCTGGAGTTTATGTGACCTCTGCTGTTATGAACTTCTTTAAAAAGTCTTAAGTCAGATAATTTACAATTTAAATCCTTTAAAGCATCTACTTTTATTATCAGTTAGATTTTGCCTTTTAAAGGTCATTTTTAAGGTAAAATTATTTTTGTAGAATGAATTTATCATTTTAGCTTGATCATCTCTGTTCATCCTTGTCAGTCTATTCTAAAAATCATATTTTTCTGTAATATTTTTTCTGTGCAAAACACCAAACTAAAATTAATTGAAAATTCACTTCAATATGGAAATGGTTGATTTTATTGGAGATGTCAATTCATAAAAAATTGATAGTATTAGAAAATGGTTTAATAGTGTTAAACTTTTGTTTAGGTGATGTTTACTAGTAGTACGAGCAGGAAACTGAACCAGCATTGGGCCAGACCGGTTTTCCTCCAATATAATTACTTGTACAAGTATTACCATAATTATTACGACGACTATATCGACTACATGGACAGTAGGATGAGGGGGCTTGTAAGGGACAAGCCGAGGCCTCAGACTTGGGCCGAACGAGCTCTCAGGACTTACGCGAGGGATACGTACTCTTCATCGACAATGCACAGGCTGCCGAGGTACCAACACAGCAATTCGACAATGCACTATTCGTCGTTTCAGGCCAACACCTGGCGCAGGGAATTTTCGAAAGATTATTGCAACAGAAAGTACAAATCGATTCTCCTTTAATACTAGGTAGAATTAATTTAATTTGCCGATTTTTGATCTGTATTAATACTGTATTTCTGTTTTAGAGAATTCGTGTGGCTTTCAGCGAAAAAAAAAAAAAGCAAACCCTTTACACAGATGATATCATGGATGTTATTGATTGATCCTTTTTTTTTTTAAGTTGAATTAATCATTCCCATTTTGTCATTAACATGATCAACCGACCTTTTCACTCAAGTGCGCATTAGTTGTTTCTTTCCAAATCTAAAAGAAAATGCTTGTAAACATGTAGACATAATAAAGTACTATTTAATAAAAAAATAATAGTTTTATTAATTTAGACTATAATTTAATATATTTAGTGAAAATACCATACTAACTTGCAAACTTCAATTTAAACAACACATAATTAAAAAAAATGTATAAATAAACTTGGCACATGACACCGAACAAAACAATGTCAAGAAACAACAATTATATTCACCTCTTACAGACTAAACATGGATAAATTGGCGTAACGGACATTGGCATAAAATTGAAAAATATAGAACAATTTGTAAAAAAAATTTCTATAGATCAGTACAATTTTCAATTTTCAAAAATATACAACTCCAAGCAATATGTAAGAGAAGGTCAATTTAGTTTTATTATATGAACGGATTTCATTTTACACTTAAATAAAGTTTAAAATAATGTTAAAATCTCTCAAATGGCAGAAGACTGAGGAGAAACCAAGTGTTATTTTGTAAGATAAAATATAAACTGCAATTGATGTCTTAGATGTTGTATTAAGTTTATATTTTTATTTTATTTATTTACGTTTTTCTTTTACTGAACGAAAACAATATTTACTTTGTCTTGAGTAAAAAATATACATAAGTGTTGTCTCTTATCTCTTTATGGTGCTTATATTTTATCAAGTAAATAAATTTTGTTGAAGTTTCAACAAAACATCTCTAAAGTCACACTGCATCGCAGAAAAAGTCATAAATGAAATAAAAAAAAAAAAACTTAAAAGACAAAAAATTTAATAATAAACGTTATTTTGGACTGTACGTCTTCTTCCCGTTATTGTGTACTATTTTCGGCTGACTTCTCTTTGCTTTGATTCATCCTGTAAAAATTTTTCCATATTAATCTAAGGTTCTGACCAAATTTAATCTGAAGCTCATCGATTCAAATAACATAAATATAATAAATTGAAAAAATATTTTTATAATAGAAAAATTGTTGGGTAAATTAGCAATTAATTATTCTTGCACCTGCAGATTAGCCATAAATTACTAAATAATAATCTCTTGGGATATATGCACTACCAGATAAACTGTAAACTACTGAATAATGACTTTTGGATGTGCTTGCAAATTAGCCTAAAATTACTAATTAATAATCTTTTGATATACAATTAGCTTTAAATTAAAAAATAATGACCTAGGTATCTAGAAAGTATGATAAATAATAAATTGTATCATAAATATTTTATTTATGAAGGGGATAATACAACTATAATATAGTCTGCATGAAGTTTGCCAAAATAAAACCAAACTATTTTCCCATGAATTCCTTTTTTTATTCAATTTTTATTTTCATAAATTTATACACTTTCTTCCCCCTCTTTACTACCTTATCCTTGAATCCTATTAACTGGCCGATGCTTCAGAGTGAGCTAGTGGTCAACCAAATGCAGGCCGGTGTCCCACAAGGGGATATTCTTGGTCCCATCCTTTATACAATTTATAGTACTGGCTTTCTTAAATGTCACAATATCACCGTAAACACTGATATGAATGATACCGTGATTTTCTCTTCTAATTCAATTCCTATCCAAGCAACTTTAAACATCCAAGAACATGGAGCTGGAGACTTGCAAAAAGTGAATGACAAGGCTGATTGAGGAGATATGTACACTGTGTACTGACCTGGGGGAAAAAACAGACTTGCTTTCCACTGCACATCTACAACAAAGAACTATCGATTCCCACTCAAGTACTTAGGATACTTAGGAATATACCAAGACAGAAGACTGAGGTGGAATCCTCACACAAAACCTGACAACTTAACAGTAGCTTGACAGCTATGAAAACTTTGTGGACTGGAGTCTATTTTGAATGTCAAAACTGAACTAACCCTATACAGGACATTACTGTGGATATTTTGAAAATATAGATTGGAAATGTGGTGTCCCGCCAAGCCTCAAATATCCAGTGCTAATCCTCCCAAGTAATAGTTCTCAGATAAATTGTCAAAGCTCTTTACTATGTCAATAATCTCACTATCCTCGACCTTAACATTTCTTTTGTCCACCCTGCTTCCAACCGTTCCATACACCAAACTCTTGATCCTTCCCAACCTTACTGACCCTCTGTAAACTTTCCCATCCCAAGACCCAACCACATTTTTTAAACTATGATGACCTCGAGACATCACTACTTAATCCCTCATTTGAGTACTAGCATCCACTGGTTTCTCTTAACATGTGTCCACTGAATGCAGTGCTGGGCAGTACCAGTGTTGTGATCATCAGGCAAAACAATGGATATTTTACAAAAAATATGACTTTTGCAATGGTAGATTATTTCTTGAGGTCAGACCCAGCATTGAAGACACCATGAAGTTGAAAATGACAAAACTACACTACAAGTTTTTCAACTACGCTGCATAACCGGCATAAGCTACTTATAGATATTTCCTACATTAAGAAGGTCTAAAGCTGATCAATGATTATCAGGGGTGCATAAGAGTAGTTATGAGATTAAGCTGATTCAGAACTGACCTGCGAACTTCCAACAGGGTTAAAACTTAAATGGTGAGATAATAACAACCTGAGGAGCTCATAACCTCCAGGGACAATAAAAATACGATGTTTAGATTCCATCAACTTTCCAGACAGACCAAAGTACCAAAAAAAGTGCAAAAGACCAAAGGAAAAAAGAGAAAGACCTTTCCATTGGGAATGGTACATCTCATGGTCGATAGTCCTAAAACACAAGGACGGGGCAGTGTTCAGCATGGTACCAAATATTCAAAACCCATCGGAAAATACACCAGTATTATAAATTAAAACTTAATTAATAAGGACTCCCAATCCCACCCAGTGAAGATGGCAAGAAGCCATAGGTACTAGACTGCAAGCTTCTGGGTCCCAAGAAAAGTAGTTGCTGGTAGAATTAACACCAACCCACTACCAATAAACTGCAGTGCTGTTTGCAATATACCTGTATCTTCCAACGAAGTTCATGCAATTCAGAGATGTAGTCAAATAGCCAAGCAGCCATCAAAGCTCTAAGCTCAAACATTATTAGCTCAAAGATGGTGATGGTTGCAAAACTAACCTAAACAAATTATGAAAAATAGTTACTCTCTGCTGTATCTCAGGCCATGAAGTAGCAGAGGGAAACGAAAGAGCAGATGCCCTTGCAAAAGCAAGTTTTCGAAGGAAACAAGCAAAAGAATGCATTAAAGGAAGCTTGAAAAAACTTGGTATCTTAACAAGACACTAAATAAGAATTTGAAGAAGACCAGTATAATCCAACAACACGTGCAGATTCTGCAAATAGGCAGAGGAAACACCAACACTCCTATTAACAAACTGATGATGCATTTTTCCATAGGAGGAATTGTTTTAGGATGTACAAAGTAACCGTAGAAGAAATTCAACCACTAAAACTAAGGCTAGGATTCGCTGGTGGGCTATAGGTACACAACGAAGGATACACTTGCACTTAAAGAGTGCAGTATACTACACACCAAATATTACATCTGACCTGTGACCTGTAATTTTGAGCACCTGAAAAGTGAAACCAAGGGAGGAAAATGGTATCAGGTAAACAACCATTAAAATCAACATTCTAATTATTTATACATTAATTATACAATTAAAAATGTACAGCACAGTTAAAACAATACTGAATTCGCATATTCTTTGCAGACATAAATAAATACTAATCTGTTACAAACACAGCCAAAAGCAACTCTTTGTTTATGGTTAAAGCTTAGCCGAACAGACAGTGGACCTGATTTTGTTGTAATCAGGAAGCCATTCGACTGGGCCGACAGCAGCGACTGCTGGAGATTTGCCATAGATGTACTGCATCAAGACATCTTGGACATGCTGTGCTGTGACATCCTGAAAAAAGTTCAATATTAATGAATAATACTTAAAAAAAAAAAAATATGAAATTTGATACTTACATTGATCCTGTATTCTAGTTCGTACAGCGGGATCCTCCGGCCATAGCAGAGCATCTGTCTGCCTATATCCTCGCAAATTGGAGTCGTACCATCGAGCTGTAAAAACATGTTCGACTTAAGGACATTTTTGGCCCTTTCCACTTCAGCATTGGACAGATTTGTCGACAGCCTCATCCATTCATTTTGGATGTTGTATACCATATCCTGGAAAATTATTATTGTAGAGATGTAATGGATTATAAAGCTTTGAAACAACCTCAATGGCTCCTGGCTGTGAAACGAAATAGATGCCCCAGAGACCTGTGTCTTTGTAGCAAGTGTTGAATGATTGAAATGAATGAGCTAGGTTGTTTTGGGCAGCCGCTTGGGCGAGCTTGGAAGAATTGGCCGCTCCGCCGCCCTGCGACCTATCCCAAGCTCCGATAAGTGTGTTCGCAACCATTAACGGAATGTTGTCTGCGTTTTCCCATCCACATCCTTCTACTGCTATGGCTACATGAGCAAGAGGCATAGAGTCATCTCTGACTCGGATTTCAGATCCGGTGAACCTACAATTATGGAACAATTTTATGTCTTCAGTGAAGACAAACAATTATAATTATTTCTTTGTTTACTTGCAAGGATCCAGAACTAAGGATCCTGAAACAGGCGTAGTGGGACCTTTAAACAACTGCTTTGCTGTCTTAACGAGCTCGTCATGATCTACACCACCAGCACCGGCTAAAACCATTCTTGCAGGTTTATAATATGATCTAATATATTTACTCAGATCATCTCTGCTGATTGATCTATAATTTAAAACCAGTTATACTCACACCTTAACGCTGAATTTTAATGTCAATAAAATATTACTTGATGTTTTTAGTCGGTCCTAGAATTGTCCTGCCTAATGCAGTGCCTTGAAAGGCAGTCGCATGGAGGTGGTCAAAGACAACTTCCTGAAGGTTGGTCTCAACTTCCTGCATCTCGCGCAAGATGACACCCCGTTCGCGTTCGATTTCGTTTTCACCGAGCTTCGAATTCTGAAGAATGTCCGACAAGATTTCCAGGGCTTTGAGGATGTCCTGCTTAAGGCATTTAGCGTAGAATACCGTCTGTTCTCTAGACGTGTACGCATTCAGGTGGGCCCCCATGTTTTCAACCTCAAGTTCAAGGTCGACCTGGGATCTTTTGGACGTCCCCTGTAAAACAATGACGATATAAAAATCGTTAAATTAGTACCGTTAATCCGATAAACCTTGAATGCCATGTGCTCGAGGAAATGAGCGACCCCGTTGTTTTCTTCGTTTTCACATCTAGATCCGGCATCGATCCAGAGCCCGATGGTTGCTGTCAAGTCGCCTGTGTCTTCGGACGCCACCCTCAGTCCATTATCCAATGTTGTGATTTTTGTAGGAGGAGAGTTCACTAAAATTTCTTTCACTTGGGCTTCGGCAGAGGCTAATCTTTTTAGGATCTGATTTGGACAAAAAAACGGAAAAATACAAAGCAGATATTATAATAAGTGGAGAAAAATAATAGAAAAATACTGTTTACAGAATGAAACAAGTAGAGTGCCAACGAGAAAAAATTTACTTGTGAAAAACGGTTGCCAAGCTAGCGAGTTGTTTCCTCAGATCCATTTTCTTTAATAAGATTGAGTTGACAGTGTTAAAATCACCGTCACCGTAGTCTAAGACCTTTTGCACAATTGAAATGTCTCCATATTCCCCCACATATTAAACTTTTGACCTGATTTCAATAATTTGTGAAATAATAATCAAATCCTTCTTTTTTGGATAATGAAACCCAGGAAGGATTAAATAGCATAATATCCTAAAATTTATTTTTCTGTCTAAAGCATAAGCGGTTGCCTTAAGTGGGCCATTCATCCTCTTTTGGGTTTAATCGTAGGCTTGAATCCTTGATAGCTTATTTTAGTAATTAGAGAAATAATCATTCAATCCTTTGTTCTTTTCCTGTATAGAAAATCAAGGCTGATGGTCTGTTAATTATTAATAAAGAGAGTTTTCAACTGGATTCGTAATTTTTTGTTTTGTTTTGCCTAATGTACCAATAGCAAGCCGATCAAGTGTTGCCCAGCCATTTACAATCAGAAGACTACAGTCTTTCTTTTTTTTCAGGTTCTTCAAGTCATTCTTTGCCTCTTGATAGAGAAAGAAATGTAATATTTTTTCCCGTACTAAAGGCACAAGGCATGCCCAGATCTTTTACAAGGAAATTCATGAGTTTTCAACTCATGACTTATTTCCAATCAGCAATAGGAAGACCAGGATGATCAGAAACATCCAAACTGTAAGAACTGGTTCCTTATATGGATCTGTCTTTACTCACAGGTTTAACACAGATTCTCACTGAAGATGGAGCGATGCCAAAACGAATGTGAGAAGTTCAACAAACCCACGAGTGAAGAGAGACCCAGTGCTGGTCCAGCATGAGTTCTCCGACTCGCAAACCATCTAAAACACTTCAGGAAATCTCACAACCTTTTAATTTGTTTAACTGGTTTAGGATATGTCCTTGTTTAAATTTTTCACAAGATCTTTTCAAAAATCTTTAAGCTGCTAATTATTCCACAAGTCACTTCATTTAGAGAATTTACATCCATGTCTCAAATCTCAAACAGTTCCACAGAGTGGTGGATGAAATTCTGGACCAAACTGAGAATATGGTAAGACAGCACTTATTTTGAACATACACCAAGGATTTGATCATCCCTGGCCAGACGGCCTGCTTGCTAATAATTTAAAAAACTCACCGAGCACTATAGAATCTAACTTATCCAAACGTTCACCATTAAATTTGGAAAAACGAGCTGTGGGGCAGGAGTCAAAGGCCCAAATTTTGACCAAGTCAAACCTCTAACCCCAACATCATCAATTTTCCAAGCTAAGATCCATGCAATTGCTTGGAATTTAATAGAAGTATTCTCTGACAACCAAGCAGTACTGAAGGCCTTAGACCTGCAATTCAAAGCTGGTTATATCTAACATTCCACCTGTGTGACTATAAATTCGGGACCACGTCAGCTGGGCAAGGAGTGGAATTGTAAATTCGTAGCTAGATGTGCATTGACATGGCCCAGGAGGCTACGTAATGGAAACACCTGAAAATGAGTTATTATGAGGCCAACTGTTGAAAGAAGTAGAGTTGACCATTTGACCCAGTAGTTTTCGCTTTTCCTTTCCTACCATGGTTGAGAAACCAGTATAAAAGAGGATGATTTGAAAAGCAAAGGCAGTCAACTCAAAGACTCATACAAGTCAACTCGAGGACTCGGTGGAGAGAGGTTGAAGGCAGTGCTGAGGCATGACATCGACTGCCCAGGGCCGAGATAAATCAAATAAAGTCGACTGTCAAAGAGTGTCCCGATGTAGGACAAGTTGACTGTCGAGTATCTCATGACATAGGACTTGGTGATCCCATTAACTGCAAATAGGCAAATCAAGCCATACTCTCAATCCCTTTACTCCCATTATTCCAAACGCCTCTCCTTCCACTTGGATGAAAGAGGACTTCTAGGTGTACTGAAGCTTCGAGTGATATGCAAACATTCCAAAACAATAGAATGTATGGTAAGAATCTGTTAATAACTGCAGGTGCAAGCAAGTTCCAAGCCCATAGCTTGCTACTGGATTTGGATTCGTAATGGTATGTGGTGAGACTCTTGGAAGGTAGTCTAGAGAATTTGCTCGGTAGGCAGTAGTTGATAGTCCACTTAAATATAAAACTGGGACCTGCCTGCTGCAAGTGACTAGGGTGCACCTCCACTCGGGGTTTCGATAGAGCTGTTTTCTCTAATGATCGAGAGTAGCTTTGGCTGCGATGCTGGTAGGGTTGGGGGGGGTAGAAGGGCCAAGCAGGGAAGAGCCTTTTTAAAGACTGTGTGAAAACCTACGGTATTGCACAACACACTGTAGACAGAAGCGAGTTATTTCCCTTTTTGTAAAATGATCTTACGCTTGCGCGAGACACTGATATGACCTTAGGGCTAGGAGTGGCCTTAAAAGATACTCGCATCCTTTGCAGGACACTGAGTAAGAGAAGGAATAAATAACGAGTGTTTGAGAAGCAGTGGACAGGAGGGCGGACTGACCCATCAACCCAAAATCAGAGCAGTCAAGCAGCCACACTGTCTGGGACTCAGCCAGCAAGAGTCAGTAAGGACCAGCGACATGTTAAATAGAATCGACAATTGAGGACCCAGGAAGGCAGCATTAAGAAGGTTCTGAAAGTTGCTAGATGAGGTGGAGCTGGTGTTGGAGCATCGTTTGTGATAATTCCTCTTGTGAATAAGCTCATCCCCAGGTTAAGAGTTATGACTGAATTGCCTTGATTTGTTTGTTTGCAACCATATTAAGATGGGTCAGTGTAACAGTAAATGTTTACGAATATAACTCTCTGGTTTATTGTATTTTTGTACCCCTATACAAAAAGCAGTTGCAAACGCTGTTCAAGCACATAGAGCATCAGCGCCTGCTTACCTTTAGCCACATTTATTTCTATTCCATATTGTGCTGTATTAATTTAAAGCGTGAAGACATTTCATTGACTGCTTTTTTTTCTTTTTTTAAGCACAAGGGTTATGGGTGCCTTAAAATTATCTGAAATAGTTATTTTAGACTAGGTTCTTAAACGATGCTCCAGATGACGATTTGACGACCTCCAGCAGGGGGACAAGGCAATGAAGACGCAGGATCAGTACCTCTCCATTTTTTTCTTCTCCATTCATGGCAGTCCTTTTAAACGGATGCGCACAGATGGCAGCATCTGCATTCATCCCAGTACGTGCTTCAAGGTCATCCCAGAGGCCCAATCCGCTGCACCAGCCGAACCAACAACGGCCCATGGCCCCATACCGAGTCGTCTCACAGTATGGTCGTTCAATGTCACATCTTGTAGATAAGTCCCATAAGTAAAAATTTAAATAGCTTGTCTATTGTCGTTTTGAACTAAAACATTGGTTAAATTATCCTCAAGATTATATTTAGCTCAAGTTTGAGCAAATTTTTCAATGAGGTGAAAATATGTTTAACAGCCTAATATTACAAAGTGAACATAACGAGGCGGGTCATCTAGACATTAAATGACCATGCGTGGTCTCAATCAAACCAGAATTGTGTTTTAAAATTAGCAAAAATGTAAATAATTTTGATAAATTTATAAAGGTGTAAAAAAATCAGGTGTTTGTCAGTTTTAAACTGACTAGACTTTTACTCTGCTGTCAAGTCGGGTAGGATAAAAGCATTCTTCTAACTAATAAATAATTGAAATAAAACATTATATTTAAAGAATATGTTTTCTACTATATTACCACTTAAATAACATAAAAATTTTATGTTTTACTGCTTTTACAATGAATTTTTAAAAACAGTCCAATGATGTTCTGACCCTGAAAACAATAGTCTTACAGTGTATAATTTCAACTCTCAGACTTGTTTTTTTGTAATATTGTACTAAAGGAAAAGTATTGTTTAATAAGCATAACTTTTCTTTAGATTATTATCAAGGGTTAGTCTATAATTAAAACGCCTCCTTTGAAAGAAGTTGAGGGTGATTTTATTTTTGACTACCTCAATTTACCTTTGAAGAGCCTCTCGACCCTGGGAGGTACCTCCGTGCCGAACTCAGAAGTAGTCTTGCAGCCATGGATCTGTCAAATATTTGAATTCGGAACCTCCCAGCCAACTTTTGTACTGCAAAGGATAAATAGCCTGCCACCCTTGAAACCGCTATCCAGCTGATGTGTCAATTACTTGAAAATTGAATTACTATCAGCTTATCGGGCAGAAAATAAAGCACAAACAAAGAAACTTTCTTGACATAAAAAACGTTTCAATCTTATACTAAGTACTGATTTATATAAGCTCAAAACCGCACATGCATGTACCCCTGAGTCAGCAGTCCTGGGCCAACCGGGTTCCATGAGCTATCAATAGCTAAGTCCTTTCAGACCTCAACTCAGTCAGACCCTAAGCCCCAACCCGTTCTATCTTAAATATATTCTTTCCTATTTACATACCAATCTGTTTGTGTGGTGGGGTATTCGATATCGGTTGACCCTCTCACTTCACATTCACGCCAATAAATACATTCCCTCACATGCTAGGGACAGAACTATCAGTACTATATAAAAAAACCTCCTCACAACCATGAAGTGTAGAGATCCACAGAAAATCCTAAACTACATTAAAGGTTGTGCACCCTCTGAGGCATGGAAATGAAGAAGGGTTCCATAATTCTTTTAGGTCGCCGTGGAAGAAAGGGACTGATTACCAGTTCCTCTTGTGACTTTACTTAAGCACCAACCACCATACTAAAGCATAAGCCATCGAATTCAGGCATCATCCATCAAACTCAGGCACCAGCTACTTAGAATTGCTTCATCGCAAGTACAAGGGACACTTATCTACCCAATGCACAATTTTACGAACACTTGTTTTTATGCCATGACAAAAATACTTAATAAAATGAAAACATATTATTTTTGTTTATAATAAATATTTATTTAAATGAATAATTTTCAGAGACATTTCTAACTGAAAATGACATGATTTTATGTGACAACCTTTCTGAATTTCCATGTAGTTTTTGTCTTTAAATTTATTATTTTGTTACAATTATTGTTCTGTGCATAGCACACAAAACAAAGCTAAATGTACCAAGAAAAAGGTGAGCTGTATTTGTAACAGAAGGGTAAAGTAAATTTGTCAAATATAATTCAAAATGTGACATTTATTTGGAAATATTTAACAACAAAAGATACTAGTTTATTACTTAGTAGAATGTTTAACTCAATCCTTTTTCTGATTGGATTAACTATACCATCAGGTTTTTCCTTTGCCTTAACAACAGAAAATATTATCACCGATGCGTTTTCTCAAATTATATTAAACAGGGCTAAAAAGATGTAATAAAAACAAAAGTATATTTGAAATTAAAACCAGCAGTTTAACAGAAAAAGCACGGTTGGTATTAGTGCTTTGTATTTATTTTTTTTCTGCATAACAAAACACTTTCTATATTTATTTATAATTTATTTTACACAATTGTACAAATTACAGCCTAAGCCAGTACATTCCAGATCGGACTCTGTTATAGTCCGTGAGACCTTCGACTGGACCGACAGCAGCCACTGCTGGGCATTTGTCGTAGACATATTCCATCAGGACGTCCTGAACTTGCTGAGCAGTGAGGCACTGAAAAAAATAGATAAAATAACATTTTGAATGAAATTTTTGACAATGTGAATTCTTACATCGATACGCTGTTCGAGTTCATATAGTGGGACTCTCCGTCCGTAGGAAAGCATCTGCCTGCCAATATCCTCACAGACGGGTGTCGTACCGTCAAGCATGAGTAGCATGTTTGATTTGAGCACGTTCTTTGCCCTGTCTACTTCGGCTTGAGTCAAACTTGTGCACATTCTCATCCATTCACGTTGCACATTATAGATTATATCCTATATTAAAATAAAATAATACTAATAAAAAATTAAAAAATATCAAAAAGTAGTCAATAAGGATTAGGGTAAAAAAGAAAGACAAACATCAAGTGACAAGGTGTCGCCGACAAAATAGATGCCCCAAAGTCCGGTGTCTTTGTAGCAAGTGTTGAACGATTGGAATGAGTGCGCCAGATTAGTTGCGGAAATTGATTGGGCCAGTTTGGAAGAGTTGAAAGTACCACCGCCTTGGGTTCTGTCCCAGGCTCCGACGAGTGTGTTGGCGACCATAAGAGGAATGTTATCCGCATCTGCCCAACCGCACCCTTCGACTGCAATGGCAACATGAGCAAGTGGCATAGCGTCATCCCTGACTTTGATTTCAGATCCAGTAAACCTAAATTATAATTAGTGAATTATTTTTTAAGTTTTTTTTTTTAAATAACTGAGTGCAAAAGGCTGTAATGGATATTTTTTTTACCTGACTGGCCCTTGGGATCCAACTCCTGTCATATCATCATGAGCAGGTGAAGAGGCAGAACTGCCAAAAAGTGATTTGGCAGCTTTAACAAGTTCTTCGTGGTCGACACCTCCTGCGCCAGCAAGAACCATTCGGTACGGCTTGTAATAAGTGTTGATATATTTGGTCAAATCATTCTTGTTAATACTCCTATAATTTTTTTTTTTTGAAAAAGCAAAATTAAAAGATGTTATTTATTTCAATATTTCCTTTCCTACTTGATATTTTTGGTTGGCCCGAGAATTGTTCTGGCCAAAGGGGTTCCTTGGAATGCAGTAGCGTGAAGGTGGTCGAAGACGACTTCCTGAAGATTGGTCTCGACTTCTTGCATTTCCCGTAGAATGACGCCTCGTTCTCGTTCGATGTCGCTTTCTTGTAGCTTTGGATTTTGAAGGATATCGGCCAATATCTCCAAGGCTTTTGGGACGTCCTGTTTCAGGCATTTGGCGTAGAAAACGGTCTGCTCCCTCGAAGTATAAGCATTGAGGTGGGCTCCCATGTTCTCGACTTCGAGTTCGAGTTCAACCTGCGACCTTTTTGCAGTGCCCTGGGGGAAAATTTGAAAATTGAAATTTACAATCAGCCCAGCGCGTCGATTCAAGATAGCAAACCTTGAAAGCCATGTGCTCGAGAAAATGAGCGACACCGTTGTTCTCATCCGTTTCACATCTGGATCCAGCATCAATCCAAAGACCTACGGTCGCAGTCAAATCACCGGTGTCTTCAGAGGCAACCCTCATTCCATTATCTAATGTTGTCACTTTTGTTGGAGGTGTGTTAACCAAGAGATCTTTCATTTTGGCATCAGCAGAAGCCAATCTTTTAGGGATCTGTAGTATAAAATTTTATTCACAGTTTTCAAGTTGTTTTGACAACTAACAGATAAACTAAGCATGTACAATGTCTTGTGTAAATGAATTGTGAAAAATAGGAACAGAGAACAAACTGAACAAACCACTTAAGGAAAGAAACAATCAAAAGACATCATCAACCGAAGTATTGCTTAAACTTACAACAAAACTTTCCATTACACAAATATAGCTGAGGAGCCACTGCCAAGGCTATGAAGGCTAATAAAAAACCTGATACCTAATAAAAACATAGCCCATACGAGGAAGACCACAATAGTCCTATTTAGCCAACTCAAAACAAATCCAAAATTTAACAGAATCAAAGCCTTAAAGGTTTCTTTTATGTAAAAAGAAAATGAGGCATTTTATTCTACAACTAGATCAAATTGACAGTTTGAGGATTTTTAAATCTTAGATTTCTCTGCCTTTGCAGTAAAGGCCTGTCAAACTGGAGGACTTAATGTTGGGTGTGATTGATGAGGGGTCAGACCACTTTACAACACTTTCTTTCAAATTATTTTCAAATGCCTAATGATCTGCCCGTAGCAGTATTAAAACTGAAATCTATTAATTATTTTTAAGAAGTGTTGGTAGCCGCAATGGTTTAAGCTTGACATGGAACTCATAACTGTAAGCTAAAGGTCCCGGGTTCAAATCTAGCAGCTCGGCAATTGAACCCGACATATTTACAATGTTTTTTTTTTTTTTTTTCAAAAAACACCAGTACCCTGAGGGTTCATATTAACTTGTAATTGAAATAACCTAAAAAAATCTTGGTTATTGGATCATGAAACCACCAATTAACAGTAAAATTGACTGAATAAATGCACTGTGTTTTGACATTTCACCATCTTCCAACACAACAATGGACAGCATACAAATGTAGTTTTACCATTTTTGGTCATTTCAGTCTGTCTATCCTCAGAAGGTTGGTTTGTGTTAAATGTTTTAACCATCTGATGCTGGGTGCGAGTCAGTGAATTCATACTGAACCTGCAATGGGTCACTTATTTGGTCTGTCTTCACTCACAGGTTTGTTCAACTAGTGAAATGCATTTGAAAAAGCTCGAAAATAGTTCCTCACTGAAGATAGTGCAATGCTGAAACAAGTATGAGTAGATCAATAAACCTGCGAGTGAAGACGAACCAAATATGTGACCCAGTGCTGGTTCATCATGACAAGTACCAACTTCCAGACGGCATACAAATGTACTTTGTTCATTTCTGATCATCTGGTTATTCTCAGTATTCTCACTGGCTTTGTCTGTCAGAAGTTTTGGCATTTCATCTTCAAAATACAGCACAAAACAGCATAGAAATGCACTTCGGCCATTTTTGATCATTTTGGACTGTCTACCCTCTCTAGTTTGGTCTAACAGATGTTTGGGTATTTCACCATCTTCAAGACCCAGCCCTGGGCAGTAAACAAATGCACTTTGGCCAATTCCTATCATTTTGGACTGCCCATTTGAGTTTTGGCTTTTCACCATTTTCCAGACCCAGCACTGTAAAGAAATGTATTTTTGCAAATTCCCAGTCATTTTTTACTGCCTCCCCTCAATATTTGGTCTGTCATATGGTCTGGAATTTCACCTTTTTCCAGACCTAGCACTGGACAGCAACAAATGCACTCGGGCCATTTCTGATCATTTGGTCTGTTTATTCTCGCTGGTTTGGTCATGCCGATGTTTTGGCTTTCACCAACTCCCTGACCCAACACTAAACGGCATGCAGATAGATTTCAGCCATGTCTAATTATTTTGGACAGTTTATCCTCGCTGGTTTGGTCTGACAGAGATTTTTGTCTTTTTGCCATTTCCCAGACCCAGCATTGAACAGCATACGGATGTAGTTTGATTGCTTTTGGTGATTTTGGTCTGCTCTCTCATTTGGCCTATCAGATGTTTGGGTATTTCACCATCTTCCAGACCCAACCCTGGGGTACTAAACTACAGTAAAGGAGTGTACTTTGGCCGATCCCAATCATTTTGGACTACTTGCTCACCCTAGTTTGGTCTGTCGGATGTTTGGGTATTTCACCATCTTCCAGACCCAACCCTGGGCAGTAAAGGAATGTACTTTGGCCAATCCCGATCATTTTGGACAGCCTACCCTCCTTACTTTGGTCGGTCAGATGCTGTCAGATGTTTCAGTATTCCACCATCGTCCAGACCAGCCTTGGACAGCATATAAATGTAGTTGTATCGCTTTTGGCAATTTTGATCTGCCTATCCTCACTAGTTTGGTCTGCCTTATGTTTTGGCTTTTCACCATTTTCCAGACCCCAATATTGGACAACATATAAATATTGTTTTTGATCATTTTGATCTGCCTATCCAACTTGTTTTGTCAGAAGTTTTGCGCATTTCATCCTGTTCTTCGGCCATTGCAAATCATTATGGCCTGTCTATCCTTGATTGTTTGGTCTGACAGAAATGTTTTGGCTTCTTGCCATCTTCCAGACTCAGCACTGGACAACATACAGGTATAGTTTGGCCATTTTTGGTGATTTTGATCTACCTAAATTCAATGATACAGTAAATTGGTGGTTTGGTAATCTAATAACCAAGCTGAAAGTTTAACCATTTTGAAATCACTTGATTTTGTAAAAGAATAGATCATAGAAGAAAGTAAAAGATCCGATTGCAGCCAAGTTTTATTCGAGGCTTGCATTGCCTCGAAGCCAACTACAACTTTCTTTTTTGATTTGATGGGAGTTTCTTCTGTCTAAGTAGAAAAAATAGTAGTACAATTAAATCCTTTAGATTCTAAATTTTTATCTTTGCACTTCAATTTTAGACATCGTGATCTATTTATCTGATGCCTTTTACGTTCTTTCTCTTTTTCCTTTGCAGTACATAAGAGATCTCCGTAGCCTTGGTGCTGAGTCTGTAAACATCCGGGCACCAAGTATTGTCAAAAGGATGAAATATTTTTGCTGTTACTTGAAGATGGACACAAGAAAAACTGAATATGGTTAAAAAAAGCTGGAATATTATTGATAAAAATGAACCATCAAGGTTATTAATATAATTGGTACAGAATTATGAATCTTTGTCAAGTCAATCTTGCCAGGTTTAAAAGTGAACGTATTATTTAACCCTGGCTACTTTAATCCAAGAATAGACAGTTTTTTTCTAAATTTACAGAAAACGTTAATATATTAAACAAAAATTGTTTTTGTAAGAACTTACGGAAGTAAGACCTCTCGACCCTGAAAGGTACCTCAGGGTCGATCCTAGGAGCAATCTGCCAGCCATGCCTGCCGAACTTTAAAGTACCTTTCCAACCTGCGGACGACTGCAAAGGACGAATAGGGCTGATAATGCGGACACAAGAGACGGCGTAAAGCAGCTGGGAGGTGAAAAATCCCACCGCCTCCTTTATCGGCGGACGTCTTGGGGAGAAGGAGGCTACCATCTTCCCAGGTATTTTCAAAAGTCACTCAAATCTTGAATGACTTGTATTTTTTCAAACTACTTCAAAGGAAGAGGCGGATTGTCCACAGATATTCATAGGAATAGTTATAGCCTTCGATGTGATTTTAAAAAGAATAATTTTAAATACAAACTGTTCTGATTTATCAAATAACAAATGTATTGACAATTCTTAAAAAAAAAAAAAAATTCATAGTGCTCAAAGGGAATTAAAAAATACACTAGTTATGAAACTGTTTACACTACTGGCAACATTATTTGCTTTGGCACATTCGAAGGGTGTTAGTGTTAAGACACTTGATGAGAAATTTGGAAAAGTGATTTACGTCAATATCGTAAGTATAAAAAAAATTTAACATCAAATATTTTTTAGAAAATTGTTCACATTTGGCCCTAATAGGGGTTGCTCGTTTCTTCAAATATAATATAAATTTATACAAAAACTGAAATGCAGGCCAGCCATTATTATTTTTATTTATTTTTAGGATGGACGATAAAATTTGTAAGTATTTGACAAATTTAGTGTTGAATATTTTAGAAAAGTATACACATTTGGCCCTAATAGGATGGGTCGTTCTTTCCTTAAAACATAATTCAAATTGTACAAAGAATGGAATGCATACCAGTTATTATTATTTATTTATTTTTAGGGTAAATGAGAAAAATTGTAAATATTAAACAAATTTTACATTAAATATATTTTTTTAGTGTGCATATTTTACTCTAAAAGGATGGGTTGCTCTTTTCTTAAAATATAATATAAATTTGTGCAAAGAATGGAATGCAGACCAGTTATTATTATTTTTTATTTACTTTTAGGATAAATGATAAAAATTGTAAATATTAAACCAATTTTACATTAAATATATATTTTTTTGTGCATACGCAACCCTAAAAGGTTGGGTTGCTCTTTTCTTAAAATATAATATAAATTTGTGCAAAGAATGGAATGCAGACCAGTTATTATTATTTTTTATTTATTTTTAAGATAAATGATAAAAATTGTAAATATTAAACAAATTCTACATTAAACATATTTTTTTAGTGTGCATATTTAACCCTAAAAGGATGGGTTGTTCTTTTCTTAAAATATAAATTTGCACAAAGAATGGAATGCAAGCCAACCATTATTAGTTTTATTTATTTTTAGGATTGATAAATATTGCAAGAGTTAAACAAATTGACAATTAAATATTTTCAACAAAGTGTATGCATTTGGCTCTAGTAGTGTGGGTTACAACATAATAGAAATTTCTACAAAGATTTGAACGCTGGCCAGCCATTATTATTTTTATTTATTATTTTTAAATTGATTGTAAATATTGTGAGTCTTACACAAAATAATCATTTTCAGAAAAAGTTTTAACATTTGGCCCTAATAGCATGGGCTACTCTTTTCTCCGAACATTATTATTTTTATTTAGTTATTTTTAGGATAGATGATAAAAATTGTAAATATTAAATTTAACATTATTTTTTTTTACAAATAATTAAGGTTTTTAGTTGAGATAAAAAAGTCAATGGCACGAGCGGGATTCGAACCCACGATCTTCGGCTTGATACGCCGCTGCTCTACCACTTGAGCTATCGTGACCTCGATCCATTCGGACACTAACTTCCCATCTCAACCCCACCCAATTTCCCCCCCTTTTTGCCATTTTTCAATTATTTTTTTATATTTATTTTTTTTTAAGTGTACGTATTTAGCCCTAATAAGAAGGGTTGCTCTATTCTTCAAATGTAATAGAAATTTTTACAGAGAATCGAATGCAGTCTAGCCATTATTATGTTTATTTATCTATTTATAGGATAGATGATTAAAATTGTAAGTATTAAACAAATTTAGTATTAAATATTTTAGAAAAGTGTACTCATTTGGCCCTATAAGTTGGGTTGCCCATTTTGTCAAATAAATAGAAATTTGTATAAAGAATTTAACACAGGCCTTAATAGAATAGGTCTTTTCTTCAATTATGATATAAATTGTATAAAGAATGGAATACAGGCCAGCAATTATTAATATTAAATATATCTTTTAAAGTTTTAGCTGTCTAGCAAGCATTTGGTCTAGTAGTGTGGGTTACACTTCTAATAAAAAATAATATAACTTTATACAAAGAATTGAATACAGGCCATGTATTATTATTTTTATTTATTAATTTTTTGGATAGATTGTAAAAATTGTGATCCTATATAAACTAATCATTTTAAGAAAAAGTTTTAACATTTAACCCTAATTGCGTGGGCTGATCTTTTCTTCAAACATAATAGAAATTAATTATACTTTTTATTTAAAGTCTTGGTTAAGATGGAAAAGTTAGTCATGGGTTTGAATTCTGCTCATGACACTAACTTTTTCATCTAAACCAAGACTATAGATAAAAAGTATAATAAATTGAAATGAATAAATAGACAAATGAAGACAGCTAAATATAAGGATTAATGTTTTAGAAATTTTGACCAAAGAATTGAACGCAGATTATCTATTATTAATTTCATTTATTTATTTTTTGGATAGGTTATAAATATTGTGAATATAAAACAAATTAACATTAAATATTTTTAGTTGAGATAAAAAAGTCAATGGCACGAGCGGGATTCGAACCCACGATCTTTGGCTTGATATGCCGCTGCTCTACCACTTGAGCTATCGTGACCTCGATCCACTTGGACACCAACTTCCCATCTCAACCCCACATTTTGAGTTTTCCCTCCTTTTTGCCATTATCTCACTAAAAACCTTAATTAATTATAATATATTAATTGGTCAAGCAGACCACGGAATTAGTGAATTAAATATTTTCACAAAAGTTTACACATTTGGCCCAAATTGTGTGCATTTCTCTTTGCTTCAAACAAAGTAAAAATTTTTACAAAGAAAAAAGCCAGCCATTTTTTTTTTTAATTTTTGGAATAGAATATAAATATTGTAAGTATTAAACAAATTGAACATTAAATATTTTTAAAAAAGTGTTTGCATTTGGTTCTAATAGAATGGGTTGAACTTTCCTTCAAACATAATACAATTATTTTGTTTTTACAAAGAATTGAAGTGAGGCCATCTATTATTATTTTAAATTTTTATTTATTTATGTTGAGAATAGATCATTAGTATTATCAGTTTTATAGAAATTTGGCATTAAATGTTTCTGAAAAAGAGTGCACAGTGGGTTGATTTTTCCTTCAAACATATTTTACATTTTTACAAAGAATCAAAAGCAGGCCAGCCGTTATTTTTTTATTTATTTATTATTAGGATGTATTATAAATATATATTCAATCTTCATGTATTTTCTAGATTTATAGACATGGTGATAGAACACCCATCAAATCATATCCCAATGATCCATACAAATACCTTTATTTTTGGCCAGTCGACTGGGGTCAGCTGACGAATGAAGGGAAACTGCACCAGTACCATTTGGGCCAGTGGCTGCGTAGTAGATATAGAGATTTGTTCTCGAATAGGGGCTACGATCACAAAACAATCTATATCCTAAGCACTGATGTCGACAGGGCATTGATGAGCGCCCAGGCAAACGCTGCCGGAATGTTTCCCGTCGGGCCGAACGACCGTTGGTCCAATATTGACTGGCAGCCCATACCGATCCACAGCATACCTGAACATCTAGATAAAGTTTGTATATAAAAATAAGTCAAAAATGAAAATTCACCTGTTTTTACTTCAAAAAATTATAATTTCAGTTCCTCACTATGAAAGTACCCTGCAAACAGTATGATTCGCTATTTATAGAATTTATGCAATCGGAGGAAATGGAAAGAATTAAAGATAAATACAAGCAGATCTTGAGCTATATGTCTAATCACACAGGAGATAATATGACTGTGGGAAAAACTGAAAATCTCTACACCACTTTGCTTATCGAGGTAATTATAATTTCTTAAATTTATAATTTGAAAAAAAGTTATTAGGCCCATTATTGTAAACAACATTACAGGATTAAGAGCAGGTGTAATTTATAAAAAAAATATATTAATAGTTCATTGTTAAAAAACTTTGTATGTGTATATTTAAATTGAAACATTTATCTTTCTAGTTGACGATCGACCTACGTAGTTTAAACTGATGTATTGGATCTTCTTGAGGTCATTTTACAGGTGAATAAAGAACAACACTAATTGGGTTTCAGCGAATGTTCCGCCATCTTCAGGGCCTAATTTATTAAAAAACAAAATTTACATGAACAGAGTTACATGAAAAAAATGATACCAAAGGATGGACCGATGAGTGTCACTAGACTTTAAGCAAGACTGTTTTTGCTTTTAGTATATAGATTCATTTTCGCCTTCACTTCAAAAAAAAAGCAACAAACATGTGCAATAAATTTAATTTTCCTAACAATTGGGTTAAGTTCGTAATTTTATTTTGTAATGTATTTATATAAGATGTGTTATGTAACTCTGTTCATGTAAATTTTGTTTTTTTAATAAATTAGGCCCTGAAGATGGCGGGACATTCTCCGAAAGCTTGGTGAAACACAATTAGTGTTCTTTATTCACCTGTAAAATGACTTCAAGAAGATTTATCTTTCTTTTTGTAACCTGTTCTTTTCAATTATAATTTATTATAGAAGTTAGCCAATCTGACACTTCCGGGATGGACAAATGAGGTGTTTCCCGATATCTTGCAAGAAATTGCTGGCATCAATTTTTCAATTTATACATATACGAAAGAACTCAGACGTTTAAGAGGAGGTGCAGTATTTGTCTGCGGTATTGCTATTCGTTCTGCTGACTAATTGTTGCGCTCGATTGCAGGACCTCTACTCACTAAGATTTTGTCTTTTTTTCACGACAAACTGAATTCAAAATTTCGCCAGTTCAGAAATATCACAATTTTTTCAGCGCATGATACGACCATCAGCGCTTTTCTGAGTACAGTCGGTATTTTCAACTCACTCCCGCCGCCGTTTTCATCTACAGTTATGGTCGAATTGAGAATGTCAAAAAACAACGAGCCTCTAGTTACTGTAAGTTCAAATTGAAAAATGCTATTATTAATTCTATATTTTTTAAATTAATAATTTTTTTAATTGATAAACTTACTAATATTTCTTTATAAGATACTTTATAAAAACACAACTCACGAAGAACCGCATTTATTGACTGTTCCTGGCTGCGAGGAAGCCTGCCCATTGAAGAAAATTATGCAACTTTTGGAACCCGTGCTACCAGTTGACTGGGATTCTGAATGCAGTGGTGGAAAATCTGCTCATAAGTTCACTGATACTTCTATTTTTTGTAAGTTGAGTCAACAGTTTTTATGTAATCAAAGTATCTGTCATATTTGAGAGTATGTTCAAGAACCTCTTACTTAGGAGAAAAAAGATTTGACATGAAAAGTTAAAAACAGTTAACTTCTTGGTTGTTAGAAGGCGATCAAAAAGTGTTGCACCTTGCTTTAACTTGCTAAGAACTTGGGATCTGTTAATATGAATAGAAAACAATCAATAACCAACGATTCTCTCAAAATTTTACCAAATGCTTACAATTTTTTTTAAATTTTCATGGGATTAGAAGTGCTGGTTTAGTTGTTTTTTAACTCTTTTGTAAAAATAAAAATAATGCTACAAGGATTTTTAAGATGTACTATTTATTTTATTCACTTTCACCTGTTGATTAATTTGATCCAAATCTCCCAAGGTGTCTGTAATACTCTGGAGAGTTTTTTTTCTCCAAAGAGATCGACAATTCACTTGCATCAAGTCTCGTCTCTCAATTTTCAAAAGTTACGTTATATGCTACAAATTGTTTTAAGCATTGGTGTTTATTTCTGACTTGCATATTCTTACAAGGATCCTGATTTATTTAAGAGTTGAGGCCTGCTAACAATAAAAATCATCGGAGTCTGATGCAAAGACTTTTGACTCGTCCTAGTATTTCAACTTAATACTTAAAAATAATATTCATAGAAAAAAAAGAAATTTTTTAAAAATGTACTTCACTTAAAATATATGTACTTAGTATTAAAATAATAATGTATGTTTATTCTTTTATTTTGCGTAGACACAATGTTGACAGTGATTTCGATCCTTCTTGTGGCTTTGTCGTATTGCTGGCACAGAAATCGTCTCTACTTCTGGAATAACGGTGGCTATGAAAATTTAAAATAAAACTGCTACAAGAGACCATAATAACGACACAATTTTATCAATTTAAGACATTTCATTTTTAGGAAGAAACTTTTATTCACAAAAACATGTTTTTTAGAGATGCACCAAAATAAACATTTAATTTTATTTCGCCTATTTTTAAATGTCTCGTTTATTTAAATATTTATTACTTGCAATTAATTAAGGTTTTTTAGTTGAGATGAAAAAAAGTTAATGGCACGAGAGGGATTCAAACCCACGACCTTCGGCTAGATACGCCGCTGCTCTACCACCTGAGCTATCGTGACCTCGATCCACTCGGACATCAACTCCCCATCTCAACCCCACCTTATGAGTTTTCCCTCGTTTTGCCATTTTCCAAATGTCGTGTAATTGGTTTGGATTCTCGACGACAATTGAAATGGCGACGGAGAGCTTTAGTGAAGTGTACTTCATTTTTAAATCATTAATTCACTATTTTCGTGGTCCGCTTGACCAATTAATACATGCAATTAATTAAGGTTTTTTAGTTGAGATGAAAAAAAGTTGTCCGAGTGGGTCGAGGTCACGATAGCTCAGGTGGTAGAGCAGCGACGTATCTACCCAAAGGTCGTGGGTTCAAATCCCTCTCATGCCATTAACTCTTTTTCATCTCAACTAAAAAACCTTAATTAATTGCATGTATTAATTGGTCAAGCGGACCACGAAAATAGTGAATTAATATTTATTACTGTTATGATGTATGAAGCAGAAATTTACAAATATACTTTATTGATTTTATTATTAGTATGTTTTTTTTGCCCCTTCAAGCAGATAGGATGGTGTTATACAGGGATGCATCATAAGCACCTTATTGTTCTCCCTCTTGATAAATGCTTAAAGCTTTTTTCTAACTTAACAATTATACTCTAATGTTGTCCCATTGTATTATATGGTGGTTCTTCAATCTTAGGTACAAGTTGATCTTATCTATCTTAATTTCTTCCCATTGGGAGATTTTCGTTGACCATTGTTCACTGTGCAAAAATTGTGCAAGGGAAAACATTTTTCATTTTCTGGCTGAGTTTCAGATTTTCTTTTTGGGGAGTAATCGCATTTTGAGATTCTTTCTCATCGAAAAACTCAACTCTCCAAACTGTACAGACCTGGTTGGTTTTATTAAGATGAACATGGGCAATGCAGAGAGCTCGTGGAACAATTGAATTATTTTACTTTAATTTTAGTTTTATATTGAGGAGTTTTATGAGTGTTTGTTTTCTTCTACATTTTTATTTTATTTATCTTAATTTTGTTTTGATTTTTTATATGTATATAACTCTGTATTTCAAGTGAATTCCCTAGCCAACCAATTCTAGTGGACAGTTTGTTTATAATTTTCTATTTGTTAATTTTTTTTTGTGATTAAAAATATTTGTTCATGCCCTTGAAATCCTTCTAAGAAGAAAATGATAAACAACATATAGCTTTAGAAAAATTATACTAACAGCAAGGTGCAAATAAACTTTTATAATTTTTGCATACTTTGCTTTTTACCAACCAGCATTAGTCCTAGTTGTTAACGTAAACAGGCATGTGTAATTTCATCATTCTGTTTATTTTTATCTACCTTCGTTGCTTACCAAACTTCAAGTTCATTTCCTCACACTCATCAACAAAAAATCTTACAAATATTGCAATTTGTCCCCTACTTATTCCGGAAAAACAAATGTTGAAACTTTCGAAGTGACCCTTATCGCCTGCAGGAAAAAAAATTGTATAAATATCACAAGTGATTGCATTGCAAGCACTCATAATGCCAAGATGCCATCTTGTAAATTGCCAATTGAAATTTTACCAATTATAATTGGTAAATTGTGCTGTACACAACTTTTCAATTTTTCCAATTTAAAGGTTGTATTTTTTAAAATAAATTGTGAGATATTGAGCTTTTTTATTAGTTCATTAATGATTCTTGAAATGGCGATCGATTCTGATGAGATGAGCCTGCTTGATTGTTGCCGATCATCCTCGTCTCTCTATTCTTACTGGACTTGTCTTGCATTTCATAATATTAAGCCAATTTTCCAAATGCGATAAGTAAACTTCTAATATGAAACAAAGAATATTTCTGCACCCTTGGGACAAATCTGGATATGCTCAATTTTGGCCAAAAGAAGTTTTCCAGTTTTTAAGGCCTGACAGACTGTTTAAATGATTAAATCAAGCATGGAACCATTTCTTTTTCAGCGGAACGTGCCTTTTAGACGTCTTGAAAAATAACATTTAAATTATTCTAATTATTATTTTTTTAATTTTTGTTTTTAATGGCCTTCAACCACATAAATTATGCATGGATGTATAATATGATAAATTAAAACAAGGCAAGATATAATTAAATAAATATATGTAAATTCACCATAATTCTTTCCGGATCCACCTGACCAAATAAGATTCCCTCAGCGGCTAAGAATTCATTGGCTCTTATGGATAACAGCCTTGTTTAGTTCCTCATTTGTGCATCTACCATTTGCTAGATACTAGATAAAAAATGTTTCATGTAAAAAATGGCTCAGCTTTGCCCATCTGCTCGCTTAGAATTTTAGTTAACACTTCCCTATTTAAAACAGGACTCCAGCTGCAATGCAGATATTATCTACTGGGGTTATTAAAAAAAGAAAAAAAGGAAAATCACGTGAATGATTTTTATTTAAAAAAATAAAACATATTAAAAAATCTTTCTTACTACGTCTAACATCTGTCTAAAGTTTTCTTGCCTCGATGCCTGGACGAAAAAATCATTTCCTGTTTCTTCATTTTAATCTTAAGTTTGCTCATCCTGGATTTACCATTTTTCCAGGATTTGAGAAGTTTATGATCATGAGGCTAACATAAAATTCTGAATTGTTTTTTTCATCATTTTGTAAATGATGGTTCTATGGTTCTACTCGCAGATGTGTTGTTTAAAATGACCCGGATTTCAAGCATTGAACGCTCATCATCAGCTTGAAGGAGTTACAAACATGTCTCTTTGAGATGTCAAGTAGTAGTCTATGTAAATTGATTCAGTTTTCCTCATTTCTTTTAATCTGAAATTTCAAAATTTATCTTGAGTGTTTAAAATTTGAAATTAGATAGGGGTTTAATTAATTTGTTGTCCATTTAAATTTAAATTGTTTGTTGTTGTTTTAAAGTGGACATTTAGAGTTTATTGGCAGTGACAGCCATTCATTTGTATTCTAAAATGAAGACTGCAACACTGTTCTTAATTGTCTGCTCGATGTCGGTCTCGTTATGCCTTTCGGTTGACCTGCTCGATGAATATTTTGGAAAAGTGGTCTTTGCCAACATAGTAAGTACATATTTATGTTTATATAAATTATTTGATATCTATGTTTTTCTTTATGTGCAATTAAAAAAAAAGTATCCCAATATTAAAATATGTAAGAACAAGGAAGAAAGAAATTTTAGATTTTTGAAAATTCCTTTACCATTGTTTTATTGTTCTGTTGTAAAATATTTAAAATTTCTTTTTCTCTTCTGTTTTGACATTTTACTGTCTTCAGCTATGGATCAATGTTTGAACGTGAATTATTATTTTTAACTTTTGAATCTTTTAATTAGCCTTTAATTGAATATGTAATAGGAATTTTCCCATTGACGTCTATGATGTGATGAACCAAAATCGATTGATATTTAGCTTTACAGACATGGGGAAAGAAATCCATTTAGAACATATTCTAATGACCCTTATAAACATTTTTGGCCTGATGATGACATGGCTCATCTGACAAACAAAGGTAAACTTCATCATTATAAATTGGGCAAGTGGTTTCGCCAAAGGTACAACCACCTGTTCCCCAAAGATGGCTACAACAACAATACTGTCTACATTAGAAGCACTGACGTTGACAGAACGCTCATGAGCGCCCTGGTCAATGCTGCCGGGATGTTTCCTCTTGAACGAAAAGACCGTTGGTCTCAAATCAACTGGCAGCCGATCCCAGTTCACACTACACCTCAAAAGGAGGATAAAGTTGGTAATTTTTATTTAAAAACAATGTACTTGTGATAATCTAACAAATTGATAATTCAGATACTGGCAATGAACGCACCGTGTAGCAAATTTGACGCCTTATATGAAAAATTCAAGAATTCAGATTACATGAAGAAGCTTAACAGGAAGTATGACTTTTTTTTGCGATATTTGAGTCACAACACTGGTGATAATGTGACCCTTTTGGATGTAATCTACATATACGACATTTTGCTTATTGAGGTGAAGTAACAAATAGTTAACTTTAAAAAAAATATTTATTACCATCTGTATTTTAATTAATATTAATATTAGTAATATGTGTTAATATTAGTAATTTTTTTTTTGAAATTTTACTACACTCAGGGAGTCCATAACGATGACAGAATCAATGTTAAAAAAACATATAATCATATAATATTAAAATAGAATTTCTCTGTGATTTTTTAATAAAAAAACTAAATACCTTACTTATTTACATTTATTTGAACGTTCAGGAATTTACATGACAAGGTCATCAGTATCATATATATTATATATATATTTTTTTTAAGGACAAGTATCATTGATATTCATATTTTACACATTTTATTAAAAAGTTTATGTTGTATTGTATAAAATTTGTAATTTATTGTTATCCATATACACAAAAAGTTTATATAATTTTATTTAATTACAGAACCAAACCGACTTGAAACTGCCAAAATGGACAAAATATGTGTTCCCCGATATTTTAGAAAAATTCGTTGGGCTCCTTTATACGTTTACCACTCACACGACAGAAATGAAACGGTTGAAAGGAGGTAATTTCCCCGGATCGTTTGTGCTTCGATTAATAATCCTTTCATAATTTTTCACAGGACCGCTTTTGAAGGATATGTTAGAGTCGTTTCAAGCAAAACTGAACGCGCAACATTTTCTGAGGAATATTACTGTGTACTCAGCACATGACATAACGATTGTTTTTTTCCTCAACACACTCGGAGTTTATGATTTTGTTCCACCACCCTTCGCTGCAGCCGTTTTGGTCGAGTTGAGACAAAACAAAAACAATGACAAATTTGTTACTGTAAGCATTTTTATTTTTTGTTCTTTATGGGTGTATTTAAAATTTTTTTTTCCTTAGGTTCTTTAT